GTCCAAAGTCCCTGTAGGGATTCGAACCCACAGCAGTGAGGGGCAAGTGGTTTGAAGTCAAAAACCTTAACCACTCGGCCATGGACGCCCCCCATAGAGATACAAAGCAATGTAAAATAAACTCTGAGCTATATGCAGTCACAGTCCCCTGCTGAACTGTGACATTTGTAATATAACAAAATATCACATTGTTATGAAATCTAAAATCAATCACTAATCACTTTTATCATATTACTCATCTGACTGATACACAGCCCTTATGTCAAATCAAGCCCAATGTCTCATAGTTTACATAGATATAGCACTAAAACACATCAAATTATGTTGTTTGAAACTTTGTTTATTGGCTGTATATTACAGAAGTTAATTAAATAAAAGGATATAAACATTATTTTTCGGTTGTGACTTTTTAAAAAGAAATTATTTTTCACCGTTCATAAACACCTGGTGCTCAAAATTAACGCATTTATACCCTAATATAAGTATTATATCACAGGGCTTCAACAGAGTTCCAAAACTTCAAATTGTCCGATACTGGAAGTATTAATTTTGAGATACAATCTTACAATATAACATTTAAATCCACATATTAATGCATTAATTTTGAGCTATGGGTTTATGACCGTTTTAAATTACTTTGCTTTGCCAAGAACTAAATTATCTCAAAGTAACGTCCTAGTTTTACGACTATGGTCTATGCCCTGCGTTGAACTTGATCAGACCATTTATGTATTTTATGTATTTTCAACTGAAAATATGTCATTTTTTATTATTGTAGGTGATTCAGACTTGACATAACACTGACACAAAAGGTTTGATGTTTACCAGTAAGACAAAATTATTATCTGATTATACTGGACCAAATCACAGTGACATGGCACATATTAACAATTATTCTAAATCTGTCAGCGGATTTAATTGTATGACAACATGCAAAACAAGTTATACATAGTATTCTAATACTAGTGCACTATCATACACACCTTTCTTACACCTTTGTAAACATAAAAATAAAGTTCCCTGCCAACATTGAAACAAATTCGATCTGGTGAACCTGACCCATCGTCTACATCAATGAATGACACTTTTGCGGGTGTATTAGTTTGTCCATTATATGGTACTCTTGTTGGTTTGGAATATTCAGAAAGAGGCATAAGTCTGTAAGTTCCTTCACGGGTTATAAAATGAGTTTTCAGCTCCTCCTTTCCTCCACCCTCACCCGTGGCCGCCATATTGGTTTTTTGACTTGCAGGTGCCCGGATAAATATGCGGAATACATGCGCAATGGTAACTTCCGGTTTCAAATCAAAACAAATACACGTGTGCACGTGATAAACATAGAGAAAATATCACAATCACGCGCTTTTCTCTCAATTAATTGATCAAACTAGTAAGATGATTTTAATTTATATCACATACAAATCATAACTAGAAGTCTATAGCGTAAAATTTATGTCTTGGATGTGCATGACATTAATAATATATATGGGTTTTTTGTCATTGCTGGGTACCTGGATTTTATATTTAAAAAAATCAAACTCAATGTGAATGACTCTTATTATATTAATGTATCGAACATTGGACACAGTAAATTGTTACATATTAACATTATATTATCGCGTTCATAAAAAAATACCATTTTGATACAGAAATCCATATTTTTGCAATTTTTTAGAAATGTTAAACGTGTTTGATAATGTTTAACATGTAAAGATATTCAACAACTGAAAAAAAGTAGCGCTGACCATGCAGTGATGTGTCATAAAGGTAACAATTAAAATATAAACAAAGTAGTATTTTGACATCCATACAAAATACGAATACACTAAATCACGGATCTTAATTATTTCGTTGTAAAAACCACGGATTTATATTACATATATTACATATATTATTGTAATATAAATCCGTGTAAAAACAATTCGGTAAAACGTACTACTCAATATTCTCATATTCGGTTGAAATAAAAACATGCAGGGATATATTTATGACTGATAAATAATTCATTTTTGTTTGTTTTGAGACTCGCTAAAACTTTTTTCTTAACCTTCGACCCTCTAATTAACCAAACCATGTACCTTACTCTACTAACTCTGTTTCTCTTTGCTATGAACTTTGAAACATAGCATGACTAATTCGAAATATCATATTTATATATATACGTCATTCACTGTACATAGATTATAATTAAAACTTCATGCTTGTATTTATATAGTATGTGCTAAATGAGGGTCTATTCGCCCATTATGGCACAAAATGCAGCGATCGCTGTCGAGAACAGGTCCTGAACATATCACCAGTCATGCTCTTAAAGACTTAGTGGTATAATTTGATTTACCTCCGCAGAGAATTAGCCACACACAAAAATTTTGATCTCTGTACAGCGGTCAATGAGCACCTAAATGTACAGTAACCAATGAGAATATTGAAGGAGGTTAGCCATAACAAGGGCTGTTTTTGCCAGCCAGGTCGTCTCTTCGTACCTAGTACCATTCCTTGTCGTCGCTGCCTACATTTTAGGGCCACTCACCTCGACTTAGGTCAGGACATCGGCAGCTGGTCCACAGGTTTATTTTTCGCCAACCAGAGTTTTACAAATCTTCCGTGGATGACTTGTGCCTTTCTTCGTCGTGCACGAACCGAGGCAATGAGAGAGAGAGATAGAGTTATAACACCTTAAAGGCACACAAGGCCGCAAATATTTTTTCTATTGAAAAGGCAAGATGTTTTTTAAACTTGTTATAATATTATGGATTGAGGATATGTAAAATCCTTATAACCTAAAATTGCGTTGAATGTGAAATAATTATGAAAAAGGTAGAAAATTGTTGACAATATGTAGTATTTTGACTTCCATACAAAATATCTATTACTGTACCTATTGTCAAATCGCAAAGGAAGCAAAAAATGACCCAACTATGAGTAACATTTTGGAAACTAAAATAGGACATCAAAAATAAATATTATTGTTAAGGTATAACGGGCATTCAAATGGGATATTTGAAAAGCATTTTTTTGCTATATAACTAAAATATTAATATCAACAGTGCAATATTATGCCTTAAATGAAATGTTGTTTGTTTGGCTACCGCTATTTACTACCCCCCCCCCTTCATCCCCATATTTCTGTCAATCATAGAATCACAACAAAAGTTATATTTGTCTTATGTTTATGAATAACTTAAATGTATAATGAATCAGTAATCTTATCTTAGAATAGATACTAAGCATTCACAAGGTAATACTTTTTAAAATTCAATATAATTTAGGTTCAATAAAAACTACTTTGGATAAAAAATGTATTTTACTTATTCATATTAACCTACCTTACCCAAAACCGGCATGGGCCGCGGGAGGAGAATCACTGATATTTTTTTGACACCGGCCTAGTCATATTGTAGATTATTTTTACATGAAAGGTATATATTTTTCTATGAATTCAATTACATATGAATTTATTGACATTCTTGTTAAGAAAAAGGAAACTGTAGGCTTGATATGGGAGACTACGCAGTTATATACATTTTACCATTGTAGTGTAACTGTTACTTCCCTTATTCGATTCCCAGTAACTAGTATGCAATGTACGTTACATTCTCTTCCAGATGCAATTGCGCACGCACCTACTCTGAATCAATTTAAACAGTCTTAACTAAAATATGCCATGACTTCTGTTACTTATCAACACTATCAACTAACAATTATTCACAAATACTTAATTTATGTTTTATTTAATTCTCATTCAAACCTTTTACTCTGACATGCACCTTAAGTGTGATGCAATATGTACACATAGGCAAGTATAATATGGACCTTTAGTTAGGTAAATAGAGCTTCGACTTCTGTCTTTTCATTTTCTTTGCTTTATCATTTCTGTTATTCATCTCAAGGTATAGCATTAGCCATATGTAGTTCTCAAAAGAATATTTTGTTTATGTCGCGCGCGTGCAAGTGCGCAAGTGTCCGTAAATCGTCATTACGTTTCCGATATTTTTTTCTTAGTCTAGTTATTGTGTTCAAATTCTCTGACCCTTATAAAAGGGCAGGTTTTATCCTTGATGGTATTAAACCGTGTGTTTTATATATACACTTTATTCTATTCATATGAAAGAACTTGCATGGAGCTGAAGAACTTGCCTGCGTGGATGCCGTTCAATGGACGATGTAAGCTTGTAATAACCTAGCCCCATCTTATATATCTGAAATTTTGACTTTTCCAGCAATCAAATTCAGAAGTAAGACCAGAATCACATAATGACAAAGTAAACCTAAACTATAATAAAAGACTTTAAAATTGTTACAACGAAGCAAGTATTTGGAATAGAGTACCATCTAATAAACGTTCTTCTAATTATCTGACATCTTTTACAAGTAAGTATAAAAAAGATCAAATAAATATCTTCATAACTCTGTCATTATGTCATTATATGTATATTACATGTATATACATTGTTTATATATATATATATATATATTATATATATATTATATATATATATATATATATATATATTATATATATATATATATATAATATATATATATATATATATATATATATATATATGGAATAGTTGTTATTGTTTTATGATGTGATATGTTTGTATTTCTATACATGTTTCTACGATGGTAGATCTTTATGTGTTACCTTCTTTAAATACAGATATTATTAATATTATTATTAATCAAAATTATAATTACCACTAAATGCTCGACACCATACGTCACTGAGACCTTTGTTTAGTTTTAAACATCGCCAGTAGAAAATCTTTTAACAGAAGAGATGCAACTTTTTTAATTGCTTGCAATAAAATTTTACTATCCAATTTTTCTTCTTGAAAGGCATGATCTTGCACAGGTTGGTGATAGACTCATTAAAAAACTTGTAATTAATCGGTGTGCTGTTAAGCCGAAACAAACGCACAAAGTAAATCGCGGCTATAAATGGGGTAAGGAACGAAATGAAAAAAAAAAGAATATTTGTTTTTCTCATATTTTAATATTCAAATGAAAAATTGAAATGTGCATATGTAGATGATACAGAATACTGCAGTAGATGAAATTTTCTGTCGTTTAAACACACATTCTGGATGAACATAAAGGACAATTCCAAAGGCGCATTTATATATCAAACTTACCAAAACATACTGACCTACTCGTAGTACCATCATGCAATATGTTAGGTGCGTAGAAAGGCTATATCACTTACATTTTGACATTTAAGTTTTGAAAATGTGGTTTGTGACCTCCAGACAATGCATTAGATATACATTTGTAATACTTTATTACATATTTGGGATACTTTGATAGCATATGGATGTATACATTTATTAACAAAGCGACAGAAACACGTCTTTCAAATGCAAGAGTATAAACGTATACTGAGGACGTTGCATCTGGAACCCGTACACTTCTATGTCAATATATAGCTGTATTACCACATCACACATAAAGACATAAACACATGGACACATATCTCGACATCAAATCATTACACATATGTAATCAATATGACAAAATACATTATATTTTCTTATGCAAAAGCACACCTATTACACAAATGACAAGTACTAGACAAGCTTCGAAGAATTATGCAAATCATTATTTTATATTACATATATTGTTCAATGAATCACATTATAAAATAAGTCTGTAAACACTTGATCAAAAGGCGAATGATTTGTTTTGGGGGAGAATATGGCCGTTGTAATAAATTATATTTGAGAACTTGGCAGTTGATCTTTAAGTACCCTCCTAAGAATCTTGCCGCTTGGGGACTTTGGTATCTCCTTCATAAATTCTACCCCACCTCGTAACTTTTTGTAGTCGGATACATGATCTAAAACAAAGCACAACTTTTTATTATAAATAGATATATGAAACACAATGAAAAATTAAAGTTATATGATAAATGCTTACAATTTTGTTCAGCACATTTCTACAATATAGTTTACAACCATTCTCAATTAAACGTCAGATTAACTGGTAAACTCAACAACAACATATTGTTGAAATGCTGTAACCTCACAGAATAGCAAAACAACATCATCGGATGGAATATTTTCTTTTCAAAAAATGTAATATCAAAAAAGTTATAACTATTAATTCAGTCTACTATAGTTAAGCGATTCCTTATTCTAACACATGCTTCAGATTCACAAATACCGTGCGCAATCAATCGTAACAAAGACACGAACAGTGGTGCATAGAGAAAATAATATGGTGATTTAGTTACATATAATAAAGAAAAATAATGAAAAAAAAGATTAATGATAACGAAGTAAAAATAGCAACAAAAGAACCTTCCACATATTTCATTAAATCATGTGCATGTATCTCCAGGTTTGGTTTGAGCACCACATATGCCCTTGGCAGCTCTCCAGCTCGATCATCCGGCATACCAATCACAGCCACGTCCTGGACGGCCGGGTGTTTGTGTAACAAATCTTCTAACTCTGCTGGGGCAACCTGATAAAATTGTCCGTAGAAGTCAATATTGTAAGTTTCTAATAAATTTTAATACAAAGAAACAAAAATACAGTACTAATTAAATACAAAATAAGGTAGAAGCTGAACAACTTAATGGCGGATATATATTTATAACTTCATATAAACTATTACTTAACCGTTAACCAGCTGATTTTTGTAATGGACTTTCGGTTCTTTTAACTTGGAGCAGTCCATTCAAAATCTAAGGGATTTCAATATCAAGATATAAAATAACGCTACCAATAGTAGAGAGAGGCCAGCCTGAACTCGTCCATTGCAAAGGCTAATCATTTTTAAATCTAGCAGAATACTGTAAGGGTTTTAAGTGCAAATATTGGCGATTTCATATAAAATATAAAGTAAACCTGTAGTCCTTTGTATTTGATGAGTTCTTTCAGGCGGTCTGAAACCACAATACATCCATTTTCTCCCATGTGTCCAACATCCCCTGTAAAACATGTATACAGAATTTATAATCTAATCTTTCTATACTTTGTTATCCAACAGCCATTTGAATCGTAAGTAACTAGCATTTGCCACAAATATTCAACCAACCAGGCCAACCTGCAAATCCGGGCCATCTAGTCAGACTCCACACGGACAAATTTTCATGTTAGTGTGCCAAAAATTGATAATGCTCATAATGCAGTAAAATTGTCATTTCCAAAAATGAAAGCTGTAAAAGTCCATTTAATTAGCGGGTTAGATAAAAGGTCTCTTTTCGCACATATGATTGCATCCAGACTTATAAAACTAATGAATTTTAATATGTTCTTAATATTTTCTTATTCTTTCAATGCACGGCACATTTTGTTTGTATATTTTATATGAAACTATGTACCGATATACTAGCATTTCAAACTGTGTTCCTTAACATAGTACATGTAATTATATTTAAATAAATTTCTCCGTGTTTTTTGTTTAAAAATAAAAAATAACAACCTTAAAAAACAAAAACAAAAAACAAACAAAAAAAAAAAAACAACTGAAATAAGAAATGAGGAGGGGGACTGAACAGTTTCTGTAAAAGATGAACAAAACTCATATGGTATAAATTTATCAAAATAAATTTTTTTCATTTGGAGAAGACAGTTAACATATTTGCCTGTATGGAGCCAGCCATCTTCATCTATCATTTCTTTGGTAGCCTTCTCATTCTCTAAATAACCTTTCATATTCTGAGGGCCTCTCACACATAGTTCTCCAGTCTCATTAATTCCTAGGCTTTTTCCTGTCTCCGGATTTACGAACTGTCCAAAATATATTCTTTGATTTTAACCACATAATGTAACTTACATTTAAATAGACCAACAAATAATTCATTTGATTATTTCCCGGTGTTTTTTCTTCAATTTTCGTACTTTTGATATACATGCGTACGTATTTTTTTAATAATTTCAATATGTTATGTGACTTATGTCGTACAATGGGTGCATGGCATACACAAAAAATAGTAATCAAGTTTCGCAAATTAAAGAGCAAAAAGAAAAAAATATAAAAAATGATAATTCACTAATATTTGAACATTCTATACCTTCAAATTAAAACTGATAATCTTGTTATGTTACTTACTAAGTTATACACAAACCATGTATTCGGAATCCGATAATTACCGACAAAAGGTCATTGAATATTCAAATGTCTCAGGTCAGTATTGGGAAACAGCATCAAAGATTACACCCTCTGCTTTTGTTTTGATCTAAAACCACATGGTAGAACAGAAACAGATTCAATGAGCAGAGATTTCAAGAAAGAGTTTAATTAATGACCAGTACTGAGGTTTATATACATGTATCTCACCTTTGCTTCTGTGTTTGATACAAGTCTTCCTATTGAACCGACTGTGATATCTTCATCGTCAAGACTGACAACTGGTGATGTTTCTGTCAAACCGTATCCTGTTAGTGTGTAATTAAATGATAATATCGAAAATATCAAAGATTTATAGAGTGAAATCTCTTTAATAGTCAGTTTTCTTTGTAAATGCAGATTAAATGCATTTTTAAACAGTAATTTGGCAATTTTTATATTAATCTTAGAATTTAGAACTGAGAGTACATGCATCTCCTTGCTAGACTATTAAAACTTATTTATCAAATTTCAGTCCGATTTCGATGGCAGTTTGACTGATTTTTTAAGCAAACTTTTAACAATTCGCTTCCTGACATCAACAAAGGACATATGTTCCGCCCCATCGTTCCTTTTCAATTTCGAAATAAATAAGACAAGAAAAATAATATATTTTTCATCATAATTCACAGTCTAGATACCTTGTCTGATTTTCTTCTGTCTCTTGTCATTGAATTCATTTGTCAGTGCTTCTCCAAGCGGGGCTGCTGCACAGATAACGTTGCGTACATGAGAAAGATCGAACTTGTCCACGACTGGATGGCGTGCCATAAACAACACGATCGGTGGAACAATATGTAACTGACTGATCTATTAAAATATATATGATTATAATCAACGAAAGTTAAATATGACAAAAAGATTTCAATCATAATTAATTACAGGCATTCCGTAACTCACTTGTACACTTTTCAATGTTTATCTTATGATTGTTTCTTGTAAATAATCTTTGAAACAAACATTGCTTTAATTATCAAAATTATTTAGAGTGTTTTTGTGCATACTGTGTTTACTATTTGGCTGCAAAAGTGAACTATGAAAGGCGTATGGCACTAGAATCAAAGAAGACTACAGTGGCCTTAAAATCCACGGCACATGTTTTGTAATTGTGAAAGGTGTTTAGAAATTATAAAGCTTGGTAAGGACAAATGTAACGGTTGTGGTATTTCCACTTCAACAAATTACCTTATGTTTGACGATTGCTTTTAAGAACCCTTCAGGATCAAAGCCGGGTGTTGTTACAAGTGTGCCCCCATCTTGCAAAGTACCAAAGAGGATCGGGGCCATGCCATAAATATGATAAAAAGGCAAAACAGCAAAATTGTTATCTTCTGTAGTTGTTACTGTAGAATGCCTGAGAAAATAAAACGAAACGATTCCGTTCGCAAAGTTAGTATAGTTGTTGCTACGGGTGTTACTATTAATAAACATCAAACGATAATTTTTAAAATATCCCATAAAAGTTGTTTGCTTGCATTACTATTGTGCTGGCTTACCTATGTATTTAATATAATTATGTTTAAACCACAAGCTTTGGTGACTGAATGTTATTAAGTTTGCTTTATCAACATTTTCTGGAAAAAAAAAGATATTGCATGGTGATTTAGACGTTGGTATAAGTATACAAAAAAAACTTACTTAAACTGTCTTAGATTTGCCACAACATTGAAGTGGCTTAACATAACACCTTTTGGTAAACCTGTGGTACCACTACTGTATGGTAATATGACAATATCTTCATGAGGGTCGATTGTGACGTCAGAAGGAAAGCACTTGCCGTCGTCTGCTAGCAAGTCGGAAAAAGGGCGGCAACCATCAGCACCACCTATAACAATCACATTCTGAAGAAAAAAAAAGCGTTTCTCGTTGAATTAACTTGTATAGCTATAAAGAACAATAAAAGTTTACCTTTACTGTATACATAATTATATAATTATGTATAATACCTGCATTTTGTTTTTAAAATATCAAAATTGAAGCAAAAGAATTCAAAGGTTCATTGAAATCATATCTTTGAGAAACGCCTTTAAGAAATACATCTTTATGTTGAAATTCCATTCGTTAGATAATTGATAAGAGTGTAATGCAAAAAAAGGGTAGATCAGTTTTGGGTGAATGATTAATAAAATACTAGATTATTACGTTCCTATATTTATATATAAGTCTTCTGAACTAAAAGTATATAGACATTTATATGTATAATACATGTGGATATGTACATATACAAAGAACTATATCTATTGAGCTATATTCTGTATATATCCAGGCCGATTTCCTGAAGAGTAAACTCACATCCTTGTATTTTATCTTGTACTGGATGATATATTGCATAATATATTTTACATAATATGCAATCAGCAGTTTGCAAGTGCAAGGTCCGTTTACTGTATAAGGTATAAAAATTTGCATATCCTAGCTTGTTAAATGATAGTATAGATGAAATAAAGTACGATTGGGTGACTGTTTTCTAGTCATTCATTTAAAGCTTTTGTAACACATTGTAAACATTTACATGTGTATTATTCATTTTCACCTTGACTTAAATGTAGTTTTAAAATTATGTTACTGTTCATTACACCTCACTATATAACCTAATCACGCCTGGTAAATGATAGAGCTACCTCTTTCGGAGGTATACGGTAAATTGCTCTATCGCTACTTCCGAGCTAGTGCATGTCACTAAAATTAAGTGTCAAGTGTTTTCATTTTTTATAACGTTATATTTTGTAAACTCTATGCTATGCGATGTAGCAACACATATCCTATATTTTCTTTATTAACTAATGTTTTGATCTGATTTCAATTTTATTTTATTTCTAGACCTTATATCTATTTGAAACATATTTGTTTTTAATCTGAATCACTGTTTACATGAAAATGGGTGGAAAAATAATCTGTTTCATGATGAAACGGTCCATTTCAACGCTGAATTCGCTGACAAGAAAATGCCGCTACAACAACATTTCAAACAAAAGTATAAAAACTTTATGTTTTCTAATCTACATCGCATAGCATTCTCCGAATTTTGATATTTGGTGTAGAGTTTACAAAATATTTAAAAAATGAAAACACTTGACACTTACTTTTGATATTAGCAACATGCACTAGCTCGGAAGTAGCGATAGAGCGATCTACCGTTTACCTCCGAAAGAGGTAGCTCTATCATTTACCAGGTGTGCTAATGTGACAACATGGTCTTATCCTTGAAAGTAATATCACCCGGTTAATAAGTCCCAAGGGGCAAGTATTCTATGATAGTTCTGGTTCTTTCCCCTGGTCACAATCGGGAGTAATTTCGGCCTCAATAGAATAACATGTGCTCCTTTTGTTGACAAAATGTTGTTGTGAAATTCTTATCTGATAATTAGAAAAGGACAGGTCGGGGAATATGCGCACAATGCATACCGGCGAAAAATACATTAAAATAATAAAAAAAAAAACCTCAGGGTACGGGTTATTTCAGTTTTCTTGGTGCTAACATGCACTATTAGCCTGAGAGACATGTGTTACTTTTATAGTATAACACGCTTGCTCAAATATTTTTGTTATATCATAATTTATTATGTATTTAAATTCATTGGCCTACAAGAAGGACATTATACAAAAAAATGACTGCACAGACAGACAGACGTCGTAAGATTAAAACTTGAAATAGATATCAAAACTATATCAAAACTATTTGACCAGACATAAAATTTGGCCTTGAATATTTATCTCTTATCATTACAAACCAGAAATATTCACTAATGGCATATTTTCTGTTTATATTGCACAAAGTTATCTAAAAATTCATGTAGTATATACGATGTTCAAAATGATTTTCGACACAAGGACTTTTATTGATTTAGATGTTATTTTCAAAAAGTGATTTATAATGTAGATTTATAACTATTATATTGACAGATCATGTGAACGATCACATGATTAAATTTGTGAACGTGTACTGGTTTATGATTACCAAAAACTTATCTTATCAACTAAGAATGTGTACTTGTGTATATATATATTGTAATAAAAGATTATAAACTAGAGCAACGCGCGAAATCTATGTTCACATAGAATTTGTTAGTACATACCAACTTTTGAAATTATAGCAACTACAAGTATATACACACTTTTATTTCCGCTTCCTGTACTTTGGGTATCAGTGGCGGGACTGTGACCAACATTTTTGCTCCTGAATGCTCCATATGTCTCTCTAATTCACCTATAGATATAAATTATTATTATTTAAAATATCTATCTTTTTATTAACCTGTTCCGCTAAAAGAGATAGATCATTTGTTAGTCTGACATGTCTTCAACAAATAAAAGTTATAGCATGCAAATAGTATCTGTTCAAATAGTCAATCATCTCGCAGTCGGTACTAAATATTGGCATAGAATTTTTAAAAGAAATATTCATATAATGCATATAAATGGAAAGCTTGCCGACGTAAAGTAAGGTTAAGAATTATTCATTACAAATGACCTGAAGTGTATGCTGGATTTGCCGTCGTCAAGATAACTCCAACGGACGAACACCCTAGCAACAGTAAAGCAAACTCTGGATTGTTGGTGCCATAGTAACATATAACATCATTCTTCCTCAATCCGGATCTGTACAAGAAGCTTCCGACGTTTCTAGAGAGCTCTTCTAGTTGTGAATATGTGTATGTTGTACCAGTTGCATCATCGACCTATAAATTAAAGGCACATTATGCGTAAAAAAAACGATTTTCCCCTTCTTCAGAAAGGACAAAAATGGGTTTTTATAATGTTTATATAAACTTTTTAATTGCTCGTTAAATGCTTATTACTTGAAGAAATTAGCACTTAATGTCAAAATATATGTCAATAAAGTAGCAAAATGTAAACAAATTAGTATTTTGACTGCCATGCAAAATACTAAATCACAATAACTGTACTTATTGCAAAAACGCACAAGAAACAAATGACAGTTCAAGTCATAGGTCAGTTAGAAACTACAGCATGGCATCAAAACTAAAGAACTCTTGCGAGATAAAAATAAAGGCGTTTCTGGGGCATAATGGGCGTTTAAAGACACAAACTGTTTCTATCTAGCAGTATAGCAAATGTGTCGGGACAATATGTAAGCAATATCGATTTGGTATCGAAAGTTAATATTTTGGTCACACTTAAAACTTTGTTAAACCGATATAACAACCGACTTTCAATAAGGTTAACTGAAAAGCCTTTTCTCTACCAATTAGGTTTTGTGCTCTTTGGTGTACATTCTGTATACATTTGTATTGGCATTAAGTTAATTATTATTTGTATCGATTGTACATTTATAAGAAAAAGATATTTTGATAGAATAAATTAAACTTTACTTTTGCATTTTGTTATTATTTGCAATCAATTAAACTTTCTATGGCTCCTACATTATTTTGAAATTTATTACATAATGATGATGGTTATCATGATAGTGATGATGATTAAGATGAAAGTGGTGGTCATAGTGATAATGATGGCGATGATGATGTTGATGACAATGGAACGACGAAGATAGTTTATACAAATGTAAGGAAACAATCAATAATTAATTACTTTTTGCGCTTCTTTGCATGGTTTAAAATAAAATCAATTGATTTTTGCCAGGCAAACAAATCGCTATTAATCTCTCCAATCACTCCCTTTGCCTACATTACGTACAAAGTTTATCAGTGCATGATAACAGACCTTATGTGAACTATGATAACATCTGAAATCTGGTGAAAAAAAAATGTATAGGGCTTCATAAAGTCGGTCAACTAGCTTAAAACAATTTTAACCGGTTTTCATGTCAATAGCCTGCTGTCAGACCGAAGAAACATGATACCAATGCAATAGAATATCTAAAGTTTTATAAATACACCTGCAGTAGTAATTTTATTGTGATATTTTATTATACAATACATTATGCACATAATCGCTGTCGCTCTCTCATTAAGTGTTACAAGCGTTCTGTGTAAACTTGAAGTACACCACTTACAATTATATTTAAAAAAGAAAGTAAATTTAGAAAAAAATACATGTTTTGTGTTTGCAAAATAAAAATGCATGTTTGCGATCGTCTTGTGAACGTTAAAATAACATATTCTTCTTAAGCAGAGTCTAAATTTGCACGTTGTATGTTTACATAATTATGAAGTGGCATTACATATTAATTAATGAACTTACCAGCGCATTTTTGCTGCCGAATTTGTTAAAACGAGAAAACATGTAGTCGCTTAAAGACACAACTGGCAACTTCTCCGCCGGTCTCGGACTTTTAAATATCGTTTCCTCCGTCGGAGCAGACGAAAAACTTCGCTTTTTACTTGACACATTTTTCGGTTTTAGATCATGTAAGTTCTTTTCATTTCTTCTTTCCTGGTCGGTCTGCGTTGAAATCCGCACAGAAAGGCTCCCATAACATCTTCTTAAACAATTACAAACATCTTTTTTAACAAAGCACCGGAATAAATGACGCATTGTTAATTAAAGAACACTGTAAAATCCAATTATTACCCAACCGTGCAAACGTTTATTTTTCTTTACAGTGTGTTGCAAATATCTACTTGTTGTAGATACATGTATGTATCAGGGATATACAGCAACTATCGTTCAGCGTTATGATATTTAAACTTTGACCTGTTTAACCTAGCTGATAAAATATATATACTACTATATAAGGGCTTGAACAAGAATAAAATACATTTGTGAAAATTATTTGTTGAATAGGTAAATAGAAAGTTAAAGGCTTTTCTTTGCTTATTGATTTTATGAGAATTATTCAGTCATGCAACACTTGCTTTATTTATAGTATTAAAACTACTGTTTGTTTAGTGACGTTTCATTTCATATGAACAACAATCGACCAGCCATACTGAATCGAACATGGATTGTTAGCTTGGTGCGTGTCAGCGAACACTTGTCACGAGTTTGAACTTGACAAAACGTCTTTCTTTCTTTCTTTCTTTCTTTCTTTCTTTCTTTCTTTCTCCGTTTCTTTGTTCATTCCTTCGTTCCTTCCTTTGTTCCTTCTTTTTTGTTTTACATCAGGCGAAAATGGTTCCTTCCTTCCTTCTTTCCTTTCTTTCTTTCTTCTTTCTTTCTTTCTTTCTTTCTTCTTTCTTTTTTTCTTTCTGCTTGACACCAGGCGAAAATGACTTTAACAGTATCGCAAAAACTCATGGATTATCCATAAGACATTTAATGCCTTTAGTCTTCTCTCTATTAAATACGTTTCTTTCAAAGTATATAACCAGCATGGTTAAAAACCGTACCTAAATAATAAATGAATTTGTTGCAAGTACGGTCATTTGTCTTACAATTCCTTCCATCCATGAATCCTGGCAAAACCCGCAAAAAAAATTATTTTTCTTGATCATCTAGTTGCATGAACAGTACATCATTACGTTAAATAAATCTGTATTTTCTCCTTAATAAACAATTTCCAAATATTCTATGGTTTACAGTGATACAGGCGTTCAATACCTCTCCTTTTTAAATAACAATATTTTTTATATACATAATATAAATCACTTTATTGTTACACATTTCTGGTCTTTTTTATAATTTTTTATATTATATTTATTAACATATTATATTTATTTATAGAAGTTTAATATACATTTTTTTCTCAAAATTTACAATCTTAATTAAAACGCTCAGCCTTGTAACACCGAACTTTGGGGTCAAACGCACTTTGGGGTCCAATTTCGACCCCAAAGTGCGTTAAAGAGGTACATATGCATTTTTTAACATCAGGCAAACGATCGCACTTTGGGGTCACAGAAAATTTATGTTCATTATGTTTTAAATGATATAGTGTAGTCAAAACCAATGGTAAACAAAAAAACAAGGTATTAAATAGACACAAAACATGTGCCTGAATCAATAGGGATTTAAATGGTCTTGATTAGTAAGTGAAGAACTTTCACTAGATAAATCACCAAATAAAGAATGTCTATCAATTATTACGCTTAAAATATGTTTTTCTCAAATTTTCAATTTATTTTAAAAGAATGTACACCTTTCATTAACTTCATTGTTTTTAGCTAAATGCATCATTTTCCCGTTTGTTATTTACACTTTTTACAGAAATATGATAGTCTTAGCATAGACAAAGGTATTAATTCTGTGTATTCTTAGTAAGACATTTCAGTAAAAAAAATGCCTGATAATATGTTAAAATAGCCATTTATTAAGCTAAATGTGACACATAAGAAGAAGAAGAAGAAGAAGAAGAAGAAGAACGTTTATTTCACTTAAACTACAAGTTTCTCGTGATTAACATATATACAAGCATACATATATAATGACATGAAAAATACAATGACATGAAAGTAAACATAATAATTATATTGGATGGACAAAACAAAATAGAGATGACACAAATATTAAAGCATAATGGATATTACATACACAATAGTATACACAATAAAACTTTTCATTAGTTGGATCTGCTAGGTATACATAAAAGTAGGTTGAAATACATATCTAAGCATTAATAATCTGATATCTTAATTTGAAAGCTTCATTAATATATTTACAAAGCATAAGTGTTTCTTTATTTTTATCACTTTTTAATAATTGAGTAAACTTAAACATACTTGGTCTATTTCTATAATAATTCTTAATATATATATTTCTTAAACTTTCATATGCAGGACACTTAAACACAAAATGGAACTCGTCCTCAATTTCATAAGAAACTTGACTAGGTGTACATGCGGCTTTAAGTAGTAGTCCGTACAGGCAGTACTAAAATATCAACTATTTAAGTAGTAGCACATTAAGAGCGGAGCTTCAGAATAATGTAAAATTTTCACTGGAGGTATAGAGGGGAGTTTGGGGTATCGACCCCCCCCCCCCCGAGGGTTAAAAATAACATTTTAAAGGCCCATTATGCTTTTTTTTGTTTTTCTTTAAAGCTTTTTTATTTTGATGTTCTCTTATATTATCAAAAAAATACACATTGGTCATTTACCTCAACCATCCTTTTCATCTGTTGCTTTTTGACAAAAAGTACAATTATGGCGAATAAGTATTTTATTTCGAAATACTACATTGTTTTGACTACTTTTATGAAAAATAATTTAACATTTATCGTTACTCTATTCAGGTAACAAGCATCTTACATTTCTCTGATACCGTTATTTTAACATTATAAGATTCATGTTTGCTCTTTCTAAAGAAGTATGTAAGATTCCCCATTTAAAAAAGCCTCTGGCGAACGGTTGTTACGGAGCTTACAAAAAAAACTTAAATAATGTATTTGTAAAAATCACTATTTATTGTCCGATCGAAAAACTTGATGTTTCACCAGAACATTGCAATAGAGTACATTTATAGTTCTTTGGAAAAAAATTAACTGCATTTTATTTCATTCCCAACATATTTAAAATGGGGCTCATCATGGCATCAAGTTAATGACTGACAGAACGGGATATTTTTTGCAGCATCTTTTAACTTTAGGAATACACAATTTCTGTACTAGAGTATTTTGAACGGTGGCATAAAAGTGACATTTGCAACTTTTTTTGTGTTTTTGCAACTTTTTTTTTTTCGTACATGTTTTTTGTGGTTTTTTTTGTTTGTCGTACCATGGATTTATGATATAAATCCGTGGTCGTACATATTTTTTTTAGTTTTGAATACATACTTTTTTTTTAGTTTTGCATATATATTCTTTTTTAGTTTATTATAGTTTTGCATAGATAATATATTTGAGATTTTTGTACATATTTTATTTTTGTTTTGTTTTTTACTTTTTTTCGTACATATTTTTTACATGACGCCATTTGCAAAGTAGAGGTTTGGATAATTACGCCATTTGTAAAACATCATTTTCAAACACTTCGCCATCTGTAAATTACAGTACCCCATTTGCAAACGTCATTTGCAAGTACCAACATTTTCATTTTTGGAGGTATCAAAAAGATAACAACACTTTTCAGTATACATTGTATATATATATATATATATATATATATATATATATATATATATATATATATATACTGAAAAGCATTCCTGCCTTATGCCCCGGAACAGTGCGATATCAAAACACGATTCTTTTTTAATTCGCACTCCCTCTGGGGCAAGGGAGGTGGTTACAAATGACTGGTGTATTACAGTAATGCACAATAAAAGATCTAAATAGGTCCTTATATTCCACTGATTTAGAGAAATATATATATGCCCCAGAGGGAGTGCGAATTAAAAAAGAATCGTGTTTTGATATCGCACTGTTCCGGGGCATAAGGCAGGAATTCTATTATCTGAATATCCCCCGCAGGGTGAAGATTTTACCAGTGGTCGGCTTGGTTTAAAGACAATGCCCCCCCCCCCCACCCTGCTATTATCAGGGGGTGGGGTTGAGTGGTGGCAGCATATTCATGGAATAATAACTGATCATCAATCAACAGCCCTTTCCAATAGACACTACTATTATAGTATATAATAATAAAAAACATGATTATATAAAATACATATGATTTAAAAAATGGGCCGAAAAAGGTCGGCCAAAACCAGACTTGCGCGAAAAACAAAAATAAAATATTAATGCAAAACTCAAAAATAAAAAAATATGAACACAATTTTTAGATAGTTCAAGTGGTAAAATTAATGAAACTTTTATCACTTAAGCATCAAACAAAGTATCGACCGCCATCTTGAACTCCACCTCAAATATTTCAATTTCGCAGATCGAAAATAAGTCAGTACTCAGTATTTAAGCAGAACTCAGATTACACCTTTAGACCTCTGGAACCCTAAGTGCGTTGATATGTAGCATATAAACGCACTATGGGGGTCAGTTTCTCGATTTTAACCCCGACGTGCGTTTGACCCCAAAGTGTGGTGCGAAGTTTAACGCACTTCTGGGTCGGACCCCATTGTGCGTTTGAACTTTGACCCCAAAGTGCGGTGTTACACAGCCTTTTAACATACTTGACCATCGACACATGGCGTATTATATATTATTCTGTGTTTGCTTATTAATGGATCTGCCACACTACAATACTTAAAGACAGATAATTACAATAATAAGTTTTACTTTGTTCCATACACAGTACCATGCATTTTGTAATTGGAAGAATTAACATATTTTTTAAATTGCACCATCGATCTATGACATCCAAATACTTTTGTAGTTTACTTTCAACTACATTCAAATCATAATCAAATACACACATAGTAGAATTGTCAGAATAAGGATCTGCATTAGCATTTGTTGAAGCTGATGTGATATCTTTAATTTAGAATAAGAATAAAAAAGGGCCAAGAATAGATCCCAGGGGAATTCCAAACGTTACAAGCCTGCTTTTGGACATGATACGTCCAACTTTTACAAGTAATTGTAGCTTTTTTTTTTACTTTTCTCGTAATCCTAGCTGAAATTTTAATGGGGAAATATTTTGATTAAAATATGCAGAAGCATTGCATTTCGTGAAAAGTGTTTTAGATTGTACGGTGTCAGACTGTACTGATAAACAAGTTTGGCCTTTTCTATATACTGTCTGTCTAGATATTATATTATCAATTTTATAGGGCTCAAAAGTTAGAGATAACATTTGTCATGTTACCTTTCTTCATTAGTTATCAATTTCATTAATGTGTATGTGTCTGTGCTACATATCAAATATGTTATCTTACTCTAAAGACAATTTACGTAAACATCAAGAAGAAAAGATAACACCTTTTATCATTTTCCAGATGTGTTTTAAGTTCATGTCGAAAAAAGTTTTACAGATTTTTCGAGATTCACTAATAAGATAGTACATGTACATTGGGTATCATTTCTTTTGACACATGAGGATATCACAATATATGTATAACTTTCCTATCGAATATCTAGAAACAAATATCCAAATTTTATAATTTGTGGGAAGAAAGAGGCTAGAAGCCTCTCTTGTAAATTGTTTGATGCCACTTATCGTGAAAGGCTGGACTTTACATTTGGCGACTTTCCCGCTTTACGCGAGAATTTCGACCAGACTAAGAAATCCCCTTTATGCATAATTTCTGGTACCTTTGCAGAATTAGTCAGTCTGATAGCTTCCTAAGGATGATTATGTAATGATAGTATTACGAAACGCTTATTCGGACAAATTTTTAAGAAAAAATAATGCTTTATTATACATAATTAAATAATACGAAAAAAAAAAGATCTTGATTTCATTAAAAGATGTTAGAGCACTTGAATCATTAGCAAGTTACTGTATAAAGTGTTATTTCTCTTAATTACAAAACCTCGTTTCCAAGTAACACTTGATAAAATATACATGACCGTGTCAGTATCTATATCTGTATATACATGTATATCACTGTTGCAGAGAGGACAACTGGTCCCTCAACAATCTCCGCAATATTTTGCCACTCGGAGTTTTTGGAATTTCTTTAACAAATTCAACACCTCCTCTAAGCCGCTTGAAATCTGATGCATTTTCTGAAAATAATAATAATAATAATAATATCTTAATGATCATCATAACTTAATAACTTAAAAATCATCATCAGTAGCAGCAGCAACAACAACAACAACAGTAACAACAGCAGCAACAACAACAACAACAACAGCAGCAGCAGCAGCAACAACAACAATAACACAGCTTCAGCAGTAACAGCATCAATTATAACAATGACACCGCCACCACCACCATCATCATCATCATCATCATTATCATCATCAACAGCAACGGCAGCAGCAACAAAAACATGAAATGAATTTATTAAGAAAGGTGAACTGTGTCCTAAGATACAAATTCGTGAAGAATAAATACTTTTGGAATGTGATACCTTCCACATATTTCATTATGTCATGTGCGTGTAGTGAGATATCGGGTTTGAGCACCACATATGCTCTCGGCAGCTCTCCGGCTCGATCATCCGGCATACCAATCACAGCCACGTCCTGAACGGCCGAATGTTTGTGTAACAAATCTTCTAACTCTGCTGGGGCAACCTAAAAATTATGAAACAATTTGTTATGATGAAATGAAGAGAATTTGAAATGATGAACTATGAGTATGTAATGTTTTCTTATCGCTTTGCGCTATCAGGACTATGTGGACTAAGTATCTAATTGTCTAAATACCGATTACAAAAACCCACATTTATGTACAGCAAATATGATGGGCATATACTATATAAGATTTGTCAAAAACAGAAATATTATCTCAATTAAAAGATATTGCAAATATAGTGGTGTTGTACCTGTCTTCCTTTATACTTAATTAGCTCTTTTAAACGATCTGTTATAACAATACAGTCATTATCTTCCATATGTCCTATATCACCTGTAATAAGATAATGATTGCTCCAATTTAAAGAAACTTCGATTACATTAAAATTTTGAACTTTTACATTTGATCTGTTTATCAAGAATTCGTTTATCAAACATTTGTTTATTACGAATTCGTTTATCAAGGATTCGTTTGTCTAGAATTTGAAGAAAACAATACCAAATGTTATATAGATAATGAAATCTACGATTTGATTCGCCGCATACCTGTATGCAGCCAACCATCGTCATCTATCATTTCTCGGGTAGCCTTCTCATTCTTCAGATAACCTTTCATGTTTTGTGGGCCTCTCACGCACAATTCACCTGTTTCATTTCGTCCTAGAGTTTCTCCCGTCTTCACGTCTATGAACTGACGCATGTACATAGAAGCTTAGTAATTCATTTTTGGAACTGTTTAGTATATATTTTCGGTATTTAAGTTGGTCAACCAACAGTACAGAGCTTGGTCAGATTTGTTTGGCTCTCTCTTACTGATTGTATATATATATATATATATACCGAACATAGCTAACCCGCCAATGAACGGTTAATGTAATACTTAACAGCCATTGACACACGCTGTTGTATATATTCAAAATCGGTTAACAAACAAAAACAAAATAAATAAAGTAAAAATTCCTAAAAATCAGTGACATAATTAAAAAAGAAAAAGCTCTGATTCTAATCAAAATTTAAATAAAGTAAAGTTGCAGCAGCCATGTACAGTAATAATGTAAACGTCATTAATTTTGTTTTAATATATAATGAAATAATGCGGTTGTGCGCCATTTCACTAAAAAGTATTTGATCTAGTGTCATGAAACTTTACAGGAATTTTGCTCAGCATGTGTAGTTGTGCACCTGGGTTTTCACATGTGGATTTATTCTGTTTTGTCAGATTTATTGCCCTTGACTTAGTGAAAACTGTTCCATTATGTTTTGTTATTTGTTCACCAAGAGCTTGAGTTATAATCAACCAACTTTACAGGAAAAATGATCAAAATCACTGTGAAGCTATGCACATGGGGTTTGCATGTGGATTTTTTTTTCAGTTTTGTTAGAGTTAATGCCCTTGACTTAGTATAAATTTGCAATTTTAACTTGTCCATGCATAACTCAAAAAGTATTTGACCTGTAGGTCTGAAAGTTTACAAGAATCTTGGTCAGCCATGTACTTATGCATGAATTTATTCTGTATTTGTAAAGTTCTTGCCCTTGACTAAGTAAACGATTTTTTGTTTTTTACTTGTGGCACATGTAGCCTAAAAAATATTTGACCTAAAGTCATAAGATTGACAAAACAGTGGAGTGTAGGGTCCCCGTGTCCAATGGACACATTTCTAGTTCTCCGTTATTTTTTAATATATTATAATTATGACCTGTTAAAAGGTTAATAGTTCTACAACTGTTGATACTATTAGTTTTTTGACAGGTTATATATAAACGATTGTATAAACATATAACCCGGGCCCATACGGGAGGGTTATGTTGCAAATAACCATTCACATATATACGGGCATATTACTGGTCAAAAACCTTTATATCGAATTTATAGTACTGCAAACTTCCTTTAGTAGAGAATAAAAAGCAATTACTTTATAATTTGACAGCAGCCGTGTAAATAGATAATAAAAACGTCACGATTGTCCAATGAAAAACGACGATACAAACTTGCAGTATGATGATGTTCAAAAAAACTTTGTAACTGATAACAATCCTTATTTATTTTTCCATTTGCTGATTGATCATTAATAATTAGTTTCAGACCATTCGTTTACCATTTTGCCAAATACGTTATACCATGGCGTTGCAAATGCCTTTACATGTATGTTTCTTTATGGAAATAAAATATGTTTAAATGAAAAGAAACCATTCGTAAAGGGTTGGAGAATCTGTATTTTAAATCAATACCTTTCCTTCTGTGTTAGATACAAGGGGTCCAACAGATCCAATAGTTACATCTGTTAGGTAGTCTATAGAAATAATAGGCGAGGTCTCCGTTAAACCATAACCTTTTAAATAAAGACATTTATCCATGATTAAAATGGTATTTTCTTATTGTTTCAAGCAAGATTATTGTGTTTTACTTTAGCTAGTGATTACTGAACAGTAGCATTTATATATATATTTCCTAGGTTCTGCATATCAATTCTAACAAAATCTCGCAAATGCATTATAGACAGAAATAACAGATCTAAGACCAACGAAATTTATATTCATTTATGATTGCTTTCTTATTGTTGTAAGTGTTTACCTTGTCTAATGGTGATATTCGTTTTCTTCTTCATCTCATGTGTTACAGTCTCTCCAAGTGGCGCTGCCCCGCAGAAAGCTGATCGTATCCTCGATAGATCGAACTTATCCACCATAGGATGACGCGCCAGAAATATCGCCAAGGGAGGCACGAGGTGAAGTTGTGTTATCTGAATAAAACAAAATATGAAATATGTCATAGATATGTCATATGTCCGCTGAGGGAACAGTCGAAAATGAACAAGTTAAAATGGCGGGCGCGGAAATAAGGCACCATGTCCTGCCGATAATTTATGAAATGAGTTTTTCATTGAGACGTCCGACAAACTAATCGGTCATATCACGGCCTGTTTTAACACTATATTTGACTCCGGTCATTTCCCAAAAGTATGGTCTTATGGTTATATCGTACCATTATATAAAAAGGGAAATAAGAGGTACCGAATAATTATAGAGGTATAACATCAATTAGCAATTTTGGTTAATTATTTACAAAGGTATTAACAAAACGGGTTGACAATTGGGCGCGTGATAACAATATACAGTCTGACGCACAATTCGGTTTACGTTCATGCAATTTTGTTTTGCACTCTTTAGTGGAACGAATACTATCCCAAAATTCACGTCTTTATTGTTGTTTATTGTTGTTTTATAGACTTTAAAAACATTAGATTCAATCTAGCGTAATGCTCTTTGGTATAAACTTTTTAATCTCGGACTAGATGGTAAATTGATCAGGATTTTTAAAGATATGTTCTCTTCGGTGTCTTCCTGTGTTAAACACTGTAATACTTTGTAAGACTTTTTTGATATATCAGGGCCAAAATAATTCACCGATTTTGTTTGCTTTATTTCTGGAAGATCTAGAACAATACTTAAGGAATAATGATAATAATAACGATAAAGGTTTCACTTTTTATGATATATGTATGATTATTTTACTGTTTGCCGACGATATGGTCATATTTGGAAAGTCAGTTGAAGAATTGCAATCGAATCTAAATAATTTCAAGTCTACTTAACGAAAGCCCGGCAAAAAGGAACCAATGAACGAACATCAGAATATGGTATTTCTGTCGCTTTCCTTTTCTCTGCCGTCACAATATGTACCCCAAGAAAAAATGAGCCAATCAATGGGCATGCTCTGAAGTGCTGGTAACTAATACCTGCACTACAGTTAACGCACTGTGCATGTATATGTATACGATTTAACTCTGATGCATTTTCAACAGAAAGGTCCCCAATATATACGATTTAACTCTGACACAAACTATGATACAATATAAACGTTATCGTGTTTCATACCTTATGTTCAACTAAAGTTTTCAAATAGCGTTCCGGTTCAAAGCACGGAGAGGTCACCAGCGTGCCTCCACTTTGCAAAGTGTCACACAAAAGAACAAGAACTCCATAAATGTGGTAAAACGGCAGAACAGCAAGGTTTGTGTCGTCTGCGAATGAGCTTGAACATTCTCTGAAAATAAGAGGAAAATGAATTGCGTCAATGGTTATGATATCCACATGCAAATATTCAAATGTCCTAACTATACCATACTGTAGTAATGGATCTGCCAAACATTAATTTGGAGCAGTCCATTCGAAGTGTACAGTTTTACATTAAAAGAGCTGTCAGTAGGACAGCGCGCTCGACTACTCCGAGTGCTTGATAATAAATAAAGTAATAGTTAAAGTAATGGGCCCTGAACAGTGGCACGCTTTAATGGTCTAAAATGAGTGTGTTAAGTTTCATTCCCTTCCCTTAAAAGGCCCATTATGCCCAATAATTGTTTTCATTTCTTAATCCTTTAATCTGTTGTGTCTGTTACCGTTTCCAAAAAAGATGTACATTTACCAATTACCTGAACCATCTTTTGTTTTTATTGCCTTTAAAGAGGTTTAATGTTTTGAATGGAAGTCAAAATGCTACTTTATTTACATTTTCCTTTTTTACGACAAAAAATAAATACATTCAGTGCTTCTTTCAGGTGATAAGCATCTAACATGTTCAAAAACAATAGTTAAACATAATAAATTTCCTGTATTTCCCTTTCTTAAAAATGAAATTCTCATTTGTTTCTGAGGCATAATGGTGCCTTTCAGTAGTTTTGGAGATTCATTTTTGCACGTTAAAACAAACATAGTGTGACGCCGAATAGTCGAGCTAAAAAATAAAGCTACTGGCAGTAGAGAGCTTGGACAGACTGTGCGGGTGTGCTTTTTTACTGGTGACAATGTCTGACCACTTCCGGTTCCAGAATGGTATGAGTTTAAATTGCTTTGGGGACTGTTCAATATCATGATATTTTGATAACAATCGGGAAATATAATTTTCTTCAAAATGAATTCGTTATCAAGTGATTCTTGTTGTCTTTTTTCCTCAAATATTCTTTTTTTCAGATGAAATTGTTTTACTTTAAATAAGTAAAGATAGACAAATTGCTATGTTTTTAAGTTATTTAAATAGACCTTTTTTAATTATATCGATGGTTATTTTTGTTGTTTGTTTGTTTGTTTTGTCATCAATAACGAAAATAGCCGAGCTTTTGTAGATATATAACCTAAAATATTTTAAAACATTGCGGACACATAATGACAAACTAACTTAAATTGCAGAAGGTTGGCCACCAAGTTATGATGGGTCAGCATAACGCCTTTTGGTAGTCCTGTCGTACCGCTACTATATGGCAAAAGAACAACATCTTCCTTTGGGTTGATAGTGATATCCGGTGGGTAACATTTACCGTCATCTGCTAGTGCGTTTGAAAATGACTGGCAGCCATCACTATTGCCTATCACTATAACATCCTGATGAAAGACAAATTAAATGTTCAATAGTTTACTATTTGTGAAACTAGAATTACTAACATGTTATCATGTAAAGTATTTGAGCCGTGTCATGACAAAACCAACATAGTGCATCTGCGACCAGCATGGATCCAGACCAGCCTGCACATCCGCACAGTCTGATCAGGATCCATGCTGTTCGCTGCGCAGGCAGGTATGGATCCATGCTGGTCGCAAACCCATTATGTTGGTTTTGTCTTGACGCGGCTCATTTCATTCTAATCTTTGTATTTATGTTTATCATGACTGCGTGTGTTACACATTCAAAGTTGATTTGATCAATATTTTTATCGAAATCAACGCAGTCAAACGCATGCTTTTATTTTCATTGAAGTATTTTAAACATTAAGGATCGATCACTTCACTTCAGTAGAGAACATTATAATTGAAATTAAAAACATTTATGTAAAAAAATCAGTCATCCAAAATATTATTACCAAGATAAGCCTATTTGAAGTTAAAAGTTTACGGTAAAAAAAGGTAATAGTTATTTTTTTCACACTTTACAAAGGCTTAAAAACGATGATTATCTTTAAACATATCTTCACGTTTCAGTGAAATATTTTGTATGTACACTACATATACGTGTGTTTATCCATCTATTTTAAACATTCTATTTAAAAGAAATAATGCTTTGATAACTTTATATGCAATTATTGATTGCATGACAAAAATGTACATACAGCTCAAATGTATAATATCTGAAACAAATGCAGCGATGGTCTTGCGGTTATGGTGTATACCTCTCAACCCAGGGATCGTGGGTTCGAGTTTCCATATAGATGAGTTTCGTCATATAACACCAGTACAACACAAATACGCTTCAAATTTTCATCACACACGAGCTAAAAAATGTATATTTATATGAGCATTATACATGCACAAATTTTCACATGACGTTGAGGCGAATTGAGATAATACCTTAAGGTTTGCTTCTCTGGCGTTTGGTATCAGTTGGGGTACGGTAACAAGAACTGTAGCCCCAGAATGATCCATATGTCTCTCCAGCTCACCTAGAAAAAATAATTAAAATAAAAATAATCATATCTTTTTGTTACCTCTATTAATAAAAAAATGTAACAGATAAACGATGCATGCTTTATTTTTTTATCCCAGACAGACGATGCGGTAACTAGGGTGATGGTAACTTATACCTGAGCTCCACTTATTGGACATCTATAGGTAAATGATTTCACTTTGACACGTTTTCAGTATACATAATTTACACTTTAAATGCTTTATAAAAGAAGCTTGTTTTTTTTAATGATAAGACAAAAATAATAACGATACTTTTCAAATATTTACGAGTTTATAAAGCTAGCATTATAATGTATTTTAAGGTATTGTAAATACATGTTGTAATAATTATATCACCTGTTGTGTATGCAGGGTTAGCCGTAGACAACACAATACCAGCAGAAGAACATGCTAACAGCAGAACACCAAATTCTGGAGTATTAGTACCATAATAACATATGACGTCATTTTTTCGAAGTCCCTTCCTATACAAGAAACTAGCAACATTTCTCGAGAGTTGTTCAAGCTGGGAATATGTGTACGATGTGGCATTTGTATCGTCAACCTTTGTTTAAAACCAAAACTTTATCTTCTGATAGTGTAATTTCAACTAATTTGGAGGTAGGATTAAAAGAAACAATTTACAGTGAGGACCCTTTATGGTAAATCAGCATTGAAAGCAAATTAAGTAAGTCCAGAGTGAAAGTAGGTCAATATTCATGTACCAACAAGGCTCTCAATGTAAAATGATTCACAATTTACAGGACTATTATAAACACAAATAAGAAAGTTAGCAGTAAGAATATGTATCTTGAATGTGCTGAATTTCTGAAGGCAAAGAAAAATCTATTGCAAAGTTTTATGCACATTTCAAGAAAGGCAAATCCAGTTTAGGTCTAACATACTAATTTTATTTTTTGCGTCTTATATATATTTTGGCCTACTTTTACTTGAACCCACTTAGCAAAAACAAAATGGCTGACCTACCTGAATTAGATTAACAATAGCTTAAACTGTATATTAAGCAAACGAAGCAAAAAAAAAAAAAAAAAAAAAAAAATGATAATAATAATAATAATAATAATAATTATAATAATAATAAAATAATAATAATGATTATAATAATAATAATGATAATTGTTAGTAATAAGATTTAAAACTTACAAGTGCGGTTTTATTTCCATATCCTGAAAATTTAGAAAATAAGAAGTCACTTAAAGGCACCACTGGGATTTCGACAGTTGGTCTCGGGCTTTTAAAAACAACTCCGCCAGAAGTTGATGACTGCAGAAAACGCCGACATGTTGCATGCTGTGAAGAAATATGCTGCAGGATTTCGCTCTGCTTAAAAACAAAACTTTTGCTTCTATTAGTAACCAAGCAACGGAAAATATATCGCATGATCCTTCTGCTTAATTTCTTAACGCGACGAAGATAAACATGTATTTAAAAAAAGTCACACAGGCATTTTATCGCTACCTGAGAGTACATAACGGTTGAATGCTTATATTGAAACACACACTGCGTATTTAAATAAAATCAATGAAATTTTGCTATACATATATTTGTAAACAATGTTTTCAAGGACATTGAGCTTCTTAAACAATATCATCTTTGATATACTGTGAATGATTATTCATTTTTGAACAATAATATGATTAATACAAGTCTGATAGACCGAATTGTAATAAAAAAGTATGTTTCACGCCTCCAGAAAATCACATTATTTTCCCTCGACAACGAAATAGTGTAAGTGTTTTATCTTATCTTTTTAAAAGTTTAGTTTAAATTTATTTGGTCTGCATATGTTCCATGAGTATTTCTAAGTCTGCTTAAAACAATGCACAGAGCATATCTGTTTACCTTTTGTGTAATCTGATTAATTTCATTTGCAAAAAAGTGTGAATACGATTACGCATATATCAAAGGTTGGGTGCACTGTGCCTGCCCTTCATTACACTCCCATTAGGTTTACGGTGGGGGTGCCGGTTATTTTCTTTTGGCATGATGCACATCACCAGCTCACCGCAACAGACACGATGAAAACCTCTCCGATACCTGACCAGACGCCTTTTAGTATCGGTTCAATGCCGGTGAAGATTGACTCATCATTTAGGCCAAATTACTCGCTGGTTTCCGAGCGGTCTCTAAGCGATCACCGAAGGCAACTCGACAGATACGTATGGTCTTATGGTGCCCGGATGGACACCGTTTTGATAGCACATGGGGTATTAAAACAGACCTGACGGTAGGTAGAGCGTTTAACTGTGAAATGGGCGATCCGCGTTCGATTCCCGGACGGTGCAGGATGCTTGTGGTTAATATATGAATCATTTCATTCATTCATACTGTGCTACTTCACTGGCAAGTCTAGAAGTTACCAGTTCCTTGCGAAAGTGAAAGAAGTTAGTACTTTGACAGACTGCACAGGAACGATGCGGTGGCTGAAGCGTGCTCTGGTAAATATATCTGAATTTGGTATTAATTTTAGAGATATCTGGAGGTTTGTGCGACTGAATATTGTAAAACATAATTAGGTTGTGTTTCTTTCTTCTTTCGGATAACGATTCCCAATTAATTTCTTTCTGTAGAGCTTCTAGTGATATGATTGGTTGCACCAGTTGCAATGCGTGCACGTTCAATTTTAATCTTATCAAGTTGTTAGAGTTCGTATTGGATAAAATTACACCAAATTACATCACCGTATTCCAAAATAGGTCTAATGAATTCTATAAAGATAATTTCCAAAGATTTACGATCCAGAGAGAATTTCAGTTTACGCATTATATCAACCCTTTTCCAAGCTTTATCAGTTATGTATTCAATCTGTTTGTCCCATGTGCAATCAGAAGAAAGAAAGATGCCTAAATGTTTGTGTTCAGAAACTTCTGGAATTTGTTGGTAAACATATGCAATGAAGGATGATGCTGACGATTTCGTTTTCTAGTTACAACTTGATGGATTGAATGATCCTACCCACCTTTCTACCCATAAAGAAATTTTCTTGGTTGTCAGACTGAAGAATTGTGGCTGCTGTGTTATGATGTTCAACTAAAAACATAAATACTGGTATGATCAGCAAAGAGGTTTACCAAAGATTCGTTTTCATTCACAATATCATTTATAAAGATAAAAAATAGTAGGGGGCCTTGGGGGACTCCTGCTTTTGCAAAAGCCCGTGATGAGTAGGCACCCGGTATTATGACCCTTTGTTTTCTGTCCGGAAGGTAACTATTGAACCAAGATAACAAAGATCCAGATATACCTGCATGCTTTAGTTTCGAAAGGAGGCTTTATGCCAAACCTTGTTGAACGCTTGATTGATATCAAAGAAAACCACACGAACTTCTAGGCCATTGTCTAGTGATTTACAAAAAGGTATCATAGATGAAGGGCAGTTGATTTACTGTAGAATCACCATGGATAAACTTGACTGACCAGTAGACAGAAAGTTATTACTTTAAGATAGTTAAAGGTGTTGTTCTTGAATACGAGTCGCTCAAATACTTTTTCTGAAGTGTTCCTGAAAAAGTGATATGGGTCTGTAGATATTTGGGAGAAATGTTTTGTCCTTTTTGTGAACTGCAGTGACATATCGGAAACTTTTGTTGCGGATAAAAGATTAGCAAAGGGTCACCGGATGGAAGAGATATTCCACCTTCTTTGTTTCTATCGTATATATGCCCACATGGGTTGTCGCAAACTTTCAGCAATCTCGGAGTATCGGATGTAGATCAACGGAATGTCATTTTAATCCCCAAAACAACGTTCATAATCTATATAATGTATGTGATTTAATAAAACCAGCTTCATGTAACTCATTAATTAGAAAATCTGATCCTTAGTTAGATAGATACTATTAATAATTCTTTAATGTTGCATAAGGTATGTTCAAAAACCTTTTTTACAGAACAGCCATCTTAAGGAAAATCAACAACAAAAATTGGATTTTATTTAATTTTTTATTGAAAAATATGACATAAATAAAGTTTAGATGTTTTCATAATACATTATCATAAATAAGACGAAATAAGATATTTTCAACTTCCTGCATTTCATCTTATCGTTATTCTTCTCAATTATACTACTTTAATTGAATATTCATGAATTGAAATATGACTACACACGATAGTGAGACTTGATGCACTGAATAGTATATGAGCCGCGTCACGACAAAACCAACATAATGGGTTTGCGACCAGCATGGATCCAGACCAGTCTGCGCATCCGCGCAGTCTGATCAGGATCCAAGCTGTTCGCTCACCAACTCTATTACAAGTAGAGAAACTGATAGCGAACAGCATGGATCCTGATCAGACTGCGCGTATGCGCAGGCTGGTCCGGATCAATGCTGGTCGCAAACCCATTATGTTGGTTTTGTCGTGACGCGGCTCATATTATTTAAATTTCACGGTATTTCTAAACATGGTTATCATATTAACTAATTCATGATTTCTTAAGCTTAGCCATAATTCTAATGATCAGGTAAACCACTTTCAAAGATTCATACACCTACATTGGATGTATACCTAATGGATAAATGTCTCTTGAATGACTAAATATTGCCTACGTTATAGATAATTGCCTCGGTAGCCATTCACTAATTTCATATCACAAACAAACTTTGTACGATACAAATAACAGTTTTCAAAATCTTTAGAGAATAATATTTGTTGGAAGTAAACTTTATTAACTTAGTCGGATATGATATTAAAATGATTTAGAAAATCCATGACTTCTGATATAACTAATTTCAGACATCTTTAATGTATTACAATCACCATCATATCTTTTTCTAGATTTCACAAAACGAGCTCTATTAGTCATGTATTATTGCATTAATCCGACTGACCATTACCAATGTCACCGAAAACACAAATTCTCGCTTCTCTTCTGAACATTTCTCTTGTAGTTTATGAGCTTCGCTTATACTTACAATTTTAACAAAACTTTTGACAATAACCTGAATTAAGGAAAAATATAAAAAATATCTTTTAGATAGTAGTTTGCACTTTCTTTTAGTTCGTACTTTCTTTTTAATCTAATCACTAATAATAGATAAAATTATTTTATTGTGACGTTCACTCCTGTATCACTTTTATAATATGCACTTTGTTAAATTGCGTACATTCAAAATTAGATAAATAATGACCTAGAAATATCCAATTAAATAATTAATTTATATGACTACATCTACAATGAACTATCTATCTGGGTTGTTGATATTGTTGTTGTCCCTGGTTTTGTTGGTATTGCTGTTGTTGACCGTGTTGTTGTTGTTGATACTGCAGCTGCTGTCCTTGTTGCTGTTGTTGGGATGGTGGTGGAGGAATATTAGCCTGGAAATTTGGATTATTTTGCATATTTTTCTGAAAGTGGAAATACAAAAAATGTAACTCAAGTCAAAACAAAACGCAGAAAATGCTTAAAATTTTGTCATATACTTCTTTAAGGCTACTGTCACACACTCATATTTTTTTCTATATTTTTTCTATTTTATTTTAAATTACCATGCTACGAAACAATAGCAGAAAATACGAGAATTTTCATGACAAATTAGATTTCCACATGACGATATTTATCCATCATGCATTGTTCTTAGTTTCTAAAAATTCAATTCTAACAATGATTCTAACACGACCCGCATTTTTTCCTATTGAACATAGAAGAACCGAAAGTGTGTGTTATTATGCTATAAAATCACTGTTTGACGTTCTATATTTAGACATGTGACGTAATCATTATATACGTGACGTAACCACTAAAAATGTGACGCGCTGACAATAAGTACGGAAACAAATCAGGCGCCATTTAGCTAACTATCATGTACGGCAGCAATTATTTGTTGATGTCGTGTTAGAATCGAAATAATATATCCAAATCGGTGATTTTATTGCTTGATAACATCACTGTTTGTCGCTCGGATGCGCATCATTATATCACTCGGGCTACGCCCTCGTGATAAAATTCCCCGCATCCGAACTCCAAACAGTGATGTTATTGAGCAATAAAATCACAGTTTGGGATATGTTATTTCTTAACTATAATTTACTGTAGTAAGGGTTTTATTCAAGAACATTATCCATAACTCCATACCTGCATTTCTTGGAACTTCTGAAATTGTTCAAACTGGGCTTGTTGACTCATCATTTGTTGCTCGTGCATTCTGCGTGCATGGAATTCCTCGCGACGACGAGCACGTGCGAATTCTGAGTAAGTTAAGTATCCATCTTTGTCAGTGTCGTCATCATGCAAAACGCGGTCTATCATATCTAAAAATGTACATGTTATTGTTATTGCAATTTCCCTATTTTAACGTAAACATCATTGTTATGATTTTAAGTCAGTGATAATGTGACTGTCTATACTAAATGTATATGTATCGTTTTGCAAATCCATATAGATTCTATAAACATAAGAATTTTATTGCTTTAAAGGTAAAACAACCACAACATCCATCACAAAACGCGAAACCTCGGCACATTTCGACATTTTCCATCTATCCATGATGAAATATGTGAAGCATGAAAAAAATCATGTACATAGATTGTGTTTGATATACATTTATACGAGGAGTTAGTCAGGACTTTTTAAAGACCCATCAGAAACATTGTAATTTGAGTTAAAGCACTCGCAATGCCTGAAATTGTACAAAGAAAGTCTTGATCTGCGATCACAGTGCCCTCTCAGACCCGCTTTCGTTAAAGAGCAATCGACAGAAAAGTTATCTTTATAATAATATGAACTTTTAAAATAGTTATCATAATGGTAAAATGATAATAACTTGATCTTTTGAAATAGTTATCATGTTAAAATGATTACAACATGAATTGTTTACCTTCGTAATATTTCTGCATTCCCTTATACTTTTCCTGCATCATTTCTTCTTGTTGCTCCTTAGATTTTCCGAGCTTCTCCGAGAATTCGAGTTCCGGCACGGGTAACATGTGCGCCATGGCCTGCATTATCTCTATACCGTCAAGGTGAGTGTCGTTGTTCGTATCGTGCAATCTAAAACACGTGCGTATAAAATTATTGTACTTCAGACAAGACACAGACACTTTTTTCCACCATGTTTGTTGCACAATTTTAACATCAACATAGAAAAGAATGAATTACAAAATGCGCGTGGATAATATTTATCAATATAAAAATGGACTATTATGAAGGTAGATTATAAAAAAGAAACATTAGCGCATGTACTATTAATCGTACATACATGTTAGATTATTAGTTGTTGTTTTCTTTACCTGAAATAATGGAATTCCATTTCTTCCGGACTCATTTTTGGTTTATTGCTGAGATTTATTTCATCTTTCATATGTTCTCGTAAATGCCTGAAAAAATATCATATTTTTGTCAATAAATCGTGTATGCTGCATGGATATAAACGGTGCAAGCCTGTCTATGCGGGAAGTAAAAGACACATTGTCATTTTTATTTAATTCGAGCAAGTCTTTTCTTATAGTTTAAAGATTTTACTTCCCCATAATAATTATGATAATCATAAATAGACAAGAAAATATACAAAATTTAAAGCCAGAAAAAGTCAACATTACTTAACGTTTCCCGGTGTTAAAATGCTTTCTAAGGATGTTCTGTTAGTCTACGGAAAAGAAATGTTCCTGATTTCTAAATTGTATAAAGTTTTAATATACTAGTATATGTTATTAGTAATTAAATTGCAAAATGTTGCTAAATATATGTGTGTTTTCTCTATTTCTTTGCATTTTTTTTTATCATTTAAATATCGTGTCTTGCTCATTATTAACAAATCATATCCTTATATGCGCGGGTAATTCACTTTCCATAAATTTAGAATATCTTATTTTAACAAATAAACATAAGTGCGGAATAAATCATGTGTAGCATAATGTGGTATGACGCAACCTTGACTGAGATTTTCTATAACATACCAAAATAAATCATTAAATGCAATTATTGGTTTAAACATATTTAAATATATATTTTACATCTACAATTCTTGATATCAATTTATAGAAATAAATCAAAATGCGATATAAGTGTACATACTGTTCGTCTTGTGTTATTTTTGGATCATTAAAGCTAGTTGGTCGTTGGTCAGGCGGAACCGGTTGATGATGATGGTCACCATGTGCACTGACTTTACTCACAATAAACAGTAATACAACTGCTCCACATATCAACCATGGTGTATACATTCTGAAATATATAATGAACATTTTATATGGTCCAATATAAAAACACTGTTAAGCCTACGTAGCCAATAGTTTTTATAAAGAACTTAACAATTACCTAATTATAAAACTGCAGTTACGTATAATAGATAACATTTATGCAACTTCTATAACAAAATCAAAATAATAAAAAAAAACATTATGAACTGTAGTATATTTGTACTGTATGAGAAGTGAAAGGCTTAAAAATAGAATCTAATTTTATCGAATTGAACGTCTGCTTACCATATTTTTTAATTTTCGGATAAATATTATAAACATTTTTGAATAAATTGTGCTCGCTATAGTTAAGCTATAATAAAGTATATGTTATAAAAGAATTATACTGCATCTATAATATTTTAACTTTATGGTGTATATTTTGTTGACAACAAAGTCTTTCAACTTCTTGTCATGATTGACAGGTCAGTGCCCCAGGACATAGTTTGTCAATATTACGTGATACCGCTTTTTCCCGTTTTTAAAGCAATCATATCGTGCATATAACATATTGCAGATATTCATTAATTGATAAAATACATGTATTTCTTTCGGACATTTTTCCTAGAAAAAGTTTATGGTTTTTGTAAAAATACTCATATCTGGTTCATTTTTACATGTATATGTTGCGAAAGTATTGTACATGTATATGATGCGAACCTATACTCAAAAATGAAAAAAATGTCCATTGCAGTACTGGATTATATTCATTTTGGTTCAGTTTACATTTTCATGAAACAAATACGTTCACATATAATAATGTATCCATTGAAGTATTTATGTCCAAAAACAGCTTTCAATCAGGGCATGTGTAAAATTTAAACCGGAAGCTCAATGCGTTAAAAGGAAAAAAACACGTTAACGTTAATATTATAAAGCACGTTAACGTTAGTGTAAAAAGGTATAAAGATACTCACCTGAAGATCTGAAAAGAAATTATCCAATTCTTAATATGTGAAAGATGGTCTGTTTCAATAGAGGCTACGTGTACATATGAAGCTTCCGGTGTGTATGTTAACCGAAAGTAAACACACTCACGTCGCGTTAAGATGGCGTTTGACAACGTGATTGATGGCCGTTAGGACAGTACTTGATTTTGCCTCGCTTTGAAAAAAAAAACGCGGGAAATACATCATCTCACACAACGTTATGACTTATTTTCCCGATAATATACTTAATATATTTTCTGTACATATTCAACAAACAATTTGGAATATTAAGTTCAGTATATTAGTGGTATTTAAAACTAAGAAATTTATTAATTATAATATAATATAATTATTATTATATCAAAAAATGTAAGTTAAAAGAATGTATACAAAATGAATTCACATAGCTTGAAAATAAAGCTAAGTTACTCTTATTTAGAAGTAACATAATACGATTTAGATTCAACTTGAATAGACACGGTTAATGAAACGAAAGGGAGCTAGAAAAAAGAACGAACTATTACGAAATGATAAATGAATAATAAGTAAAAAAAACGTAATCTCTCTTTAATACTAGTATTACATAAACAACCGTTAGGAGAGAAAAGCAGAAATGAATAAGGCTTACTCACTTCACTTACTTGACTGCTTAAAAAAACTACAGTTTGTAGAAAATGAATTTGAATAAATATTCATTATTATGGTTAGAATTTATTATATGATCTTTTTGAACGAATTTTACCTTTCCGCACGTAAAGAATAATTATCAAAAAATATTAAAGGGACTTCAAACAGGTTTTTTTTTGATACGACGAGAACATGAGCTAATTTTTCGAAACTTATGTCCCATTTGATAAAGGTCTAGATCAATAACTTATGTGCAAAATTTCAATTCATTGCTCACTTCGTTTTTGCAGAATAATTATTGTAATTGTGAAAAAATGACCTAAAACTGAAAGACTGGCAATTAATATCAGGCCAAGAATAACACAAAATACGATTTACAATTTATTTCTGAGTATAATTCTTAATTATCTTTTGTATGTTTTCTGTATAACGTGCCATGTGTGATCTATGTAATAAATTCAAATTTATGTTTTCAAGCTTTTGGACGTCGGCGGAGTTCCTTTAAGATATTGAAAAGATATCACAACAATTAAAAAATGCGAACTGTGTAAAGATGCACTTTGATATATACAATATGAAGTACAATCTGTTAACCTACAGTGAAAGTGAATATGATATCATAATATCAAACATCCATTATCTTCTCTAAAGAGCGTATGAAGTATTAAAAATAAAAAAATCCTCACCCCTCTCCCCCACTAAAAAAGTGAATGATTGAAATCAAATTAAATAATACTAATAATAATAAAATGAATCTATCTTACCCACATGTGGTTAAAATTAGTGTTGTATTGCCGATAATTATAGTACTATGTCAAATCAGTTCAACCCTTGAAAAAGTAATTGCTTACTTTATTGCACTGATGTATATTAATATTCTATATAATTATTTAAAAAGAACATTTGCTCATTCTAATATTTAAATGTAGTTTTCACGTTTTTCATAAGAGGGAGTGAAAATCCTTTTTTTATATAGTATCTGACTTTCAACGCGGGGAGTGTTGGTTCGAGTCAATATCAGTGCAATGATACGGCAATTATCAGACGACAATTCCAACTCTATAGTGGCATAAGATACAGGTCAATAGCTTAACTAAATACTCCTGAAATGATTCTTTTAATTATGACAGATTAGTTAATTGTGTTATCTGATGGCATCGCAAAAAGCCTATTACCATTTTATTGGACGTCTTTAAATCTGAGGGAGATGTGGCGTTGTCGTGATCATAACATACATGGTAGATGGCATTAACTTGAAGCAATTCCTTATACATGTGATGAAAGAAAATGTAATATTTGCTTAAAACTTGAAGATGAATTTCATATATTATTAGAATGTCCACAGAACAATGTTTTGAGAAAACAGCTTGCAAATAAATATTTTGAAAAAAAAAATACAAACAAATATACCAAATTTATTAAATTAACGTCTTAAAATGAAATATTATAAGAAAATTATCAATATTTATCTTTAAAATGTTTGAATTAGGAACAAATGTTGAATATTCGTAAATTATATTAGCTAGGAAGGTAAATGTAATGTTACTTAAGATTTAAACCTTGCTGATATATGATTATTCTGTTCATATTAAATCAAACTTATGTCACAAATATACAGTAAATGTTAAATATATGTAATACAATTGTGTTTTATGACCTTGATATTATGTTTATGTATGTATGTATGTATGTATGTATGTATGTATGTATGTATGTATGTATGTATGTATGTATGTATGTATGTATGTATGTATGTATGTATGTATGTATGTATGTATGTGCGTGTGCGTGTGCGTGTGCGTGTATGTGCATGTATGCTGTGTACTCATGTGTATAATGCCCACATGTAGTTGGTACTAAAATCTAAAAAAATCTAAATGTACATTTTGTATTTGAAGATTGCGTGTTTAAATTGTATTAAGTGCCAGTTTAATACCCCAGTTGTTTGTCTATGTAAAGTTGTGGTCTGAATTTGTTAATTATTTCAATTATTCGAAAGTTGACAAATTATGTCATACATTTTGTTAAATTACGAAACATAAAAGTACATTAGATTTAAATCTAAAACAAAAACATTAAGATGGTCGTTAATTTCTTTTATTCGTTTGCCTGCTGTGACCTGTTTGGTTTTAATTATTTAACAAAATGTAACGTATGACCGTATATACGGTCGTGATATCTTTAAATGAACATTTTAACATGAAATTAACCTCAACATATTACCGATAACAAAAGATATCTCGGTATCTCATATATTATCGAATTATAAACATCGAAAAATCACCGACGGCTAAATAAATAATTAAGTTAATAATATAATTTCCTACATGTATTGAATATAGAATACGAAATAAATCAAGTATTCCAGTTGTCACTTTCTAAAACGTACACAGGCATGTTGAGATTGCTTAAATCTTACTTAATTCATTAATAGATTGATCGTTGATTAATTGATTAATTAGTTTTCAATATGGTTGAGTGTCTTAGATCATGCGTACTGTTTGTTTTAGTTTCAAATTGGATCTTTGTGTCGGCAGATTGTAAGTTAAAGCATTATTTTGTTATCTACTGTTTTATTTGTATAAGAAATTTAGAGGTAACTCAGATATTGTTCTTCTGCTTTATATTATAATTACTTTACCTTTAAAGGGGTGATTCCTGATGGTCCGTTAACAAACCATTTGCATGACATGCAGATTACTAAATTGTAACAAAATAATTCGTCTTCAAGTGCTGTGTGGCAGCTGTAAAAAGTTGCCCCGTGTGTTGTTATATTTTTCTGGTCCTTCGGGATCATTGATGCCAGCACTATTAACTGTTGAGAATTGAGTACCACTCAAGCCGGTGCTAGGGGGCGTGAGGGTTGTTACACTTATTCATTGTCCCTCATGTACAGACTTGATAAAACCGAGTCTGCAATTTTCAAGTAATTTTGTTGTGATTAATGCTTCCGAGGGATCACTTTGTTTCCAGATTTTCATGTAAAGTAGTGCTAAATATAGATACTAGTATTCAAAAATTGTAAGCAAATGATCAATCTTAGAAATATATCAAACTATAAGAATAAATTAATTAATGCTTATCATTGTTGAATCCTATAAATTTGTCATCTTGTTTTTTTTGTTCATCATTCATATATATATATATGTATTTAAAACAGTCAAAGTGACAATAGAGAATGTTGAGTATGACGGTTACGGACAGTTTCCGAAAGTGATAGAGTTGTTGCTAAGTTACGATAACAAGGACATTTATTTGAGACTAGACAAGGATGACGAAACAACTGGTCTTCTAACACAATCAGTGTTTGATGCCTCAAGTTTCCTTCCGTCTGACGTGTTCACACAAAGGAAAAGTAAAGTAAGCTAAGAAATATAATTATTGTCCGCATTTTAAATTTTAGTACTTTAGTATATACAGCTGTATAGATAATTAAAGTTGCTGCATGTAAGATCTAAAAGGAAATCATAATCATTCTGTTTCCTTTTAAAACTTTTCATCATCGTCCCTTCAACTTTACACTATCGTGGTTTTGTTATTTTGTTCCTTATTTCCTGTTTTCGTTGTTTTGAGTAATGTGTGTGTCGCCATGGTACTAACGGGACACCGTATTTATCAATAAAAAATAAACAAGATTTTCTCACCACAGGAGTTTGCAGCTTATGATTCCGGCGATTCTAATGTTTTGATTGTTCATCGTGAAACTGAAAATGCACAACCAAAGTTTGTAAGTTATGATTTATGTTTATCGACAAAATGATACAACGTACATAATCAAAAGTATTCATAGCGTTTGTTTTATCGTAACTGAACAATCGAATAATGATATTAGCTCTGACTTTAGATGAGACAGAATTATTTACTGAACGTCCCATATCTAGAAATTCATTGTTTTAGTTAAGATGAGTTGTTGGCTGAAAGCATTAATCCAGATCTGTCATTATTTTGACATTGTTTGCGAAGCAAATCTACAAATGTATATATTATGTGTTTCCTTTAACAGTTCTTTGCTATCTATTGTATAAGTTCAATGACATTAATTTTTAATTAAATACTTTTTCATGTAAATGTATGTGTAATAAGAATTTAATCTCACTCCGGCAATATATCTACAGTACGGAAGATTTAAACAAGACAATAGAAACATGGTGATTCAGTCGGTAGATGGAAGTCACACGAATCACAGCGTCAGACCAGAAGAAATATATGGTATGTTTGTGACTAGATTGACTAGATAAACCGGTGCTGGGGGCATTAGAAATAATGAACTCTGCCATGTCTTAAACAGACAAACTAAAAAAATAGCATAACCGACTCTAAGATTTTTCTAGAACAACCCTATCCCTTAATTTATGGGACGTCTTCTTCACTCATTGAGTAATTTTTACTTCGGTTAGCAATGAAATTATGATTTTTATCAAACGAAAAAAGATATACATTTGATAGTTATACAACAGCTATATAAGTTCTGCACAGAGTTGCAGCATTACAGTATAAAAGCAAGCATAGCTGTTTGAACTATGCTGCAGTATCATGAATTAACCATACCCGTTCATATGAGGGCCTCATGGAAGATTGATATGTTTATTCAAATGAGTTCTCTCGTTAAATAAAGTCTTTATTATTATTATTATTATTATTATTATTATATCAAAGGAATACATTGATAATTGTTTGTTTCTATTTTCTATTATTCTCATTTTTTGCACTTTCTATCTTCTAAGTAAAGCACAGAGTTCGCCGAGATGTATCGACTCCAAATGACGTCATAGAGTTATTTTTGTTTACGGACTTATCTGTTCATCAACAGTAAGTGTTCTAAAACATACTGAAATCATGTCTTTTCATTTGTTTGTTTGTTTGTTTATAAATGTTTAATCGCCTATATAAGTAAAAACAAACTGTACATGTATTTAAGAAATAACGAAACAAAAATTAGCCAATGTCCGTCTTTGAAATACTTTCCTATATTTATAATTCTAGAAGATTTTCTTTTGAGATCAGTTGCATATTGTTACAGGCATGTGCATATAAATACATTTATATTCTCCTTCTTTCGGGACTTCTTTCATTTATTTTGTTTTTCTAGTTTTGAAAACGAGATGATGGCCTCATCGAAAGTGTATCCCTACATCAAAAAGTGGCTACCATGCGTTGTCAAAGAAGTATGTATTAATTTCAAATTACATTTTTATACAGAATAATACTTAGACTTATGTTTTCGAAAGAAAAAAATATTAGTATAATAGAATAATTTTATCAGGATCTTGAAACAAAATTGGTTTTTGACTAAATTATACTTGCACGGGATATCATAAGGTGAAAGATGATCGTTTCTAGTAAAGTCTACGAGAGACAAACACAGGTACTAGATCAATGCAATTTAACAGTGACATTTCTAGTTTCATGTCTGTTCCTCCTTTTATGTAAATTATATATTCAATAGAAAGCTATCATTTCAGACACGTAGTATCTTTCATAATATTGATTTTCGTTTTGTTTAGTTGTATTAAAAGAAAATCGGTATATTTTGAAAGTTGTTTGTTTTTGTATATATTTCATGAAATATACACATTAAAGGGACTCTACTGAGGTTTCTTGACATGGTGGGACTGAAAATATTTTTTCCAGATAAATGTACCATTTGATGTAGGTTAAGACCACTAATCTTTGTGCAAAATTTCAGATCATTCGCGCACGTTGTTTTTTCCAGAATAATTTTTCCAATTGTGAAAAAAATCACCCAAAAAGAAATGCGTTTAAACGCTTTTCACTCAAATCAGGCTAAGACAAGCATAAAAATACGATTTTCAATTTATTTCAAAGCATATTTATTAACTATCTTTGCATATATGTCTGTTTAAAGTGCCCCAGCTCATTTATGTAAGAAATTCAAATGTTATGTTTATAGTCTTTTAAACCTCAGTGGAGTTTTAGATACTTGTACATAAAACATGTATGGTGGGAATTAGAAATAGTTTGAAATATATTAGGTAAAATGTGTATACAAAAGCTAAAACATTTATGTATTAAAATTTACTGCTAGAACTTATAAAGCACTAGCATTTGTCAAAAATGTTATATGACCGAATCTTATGGAATACTTGTTATTGTTTTATGATGTATTGTGTGTGTGTTCCTATATATTGTTTAGAAGGCCGCATTAATTTTAAAATTAAGATATGTTATTTGTTTTCTACGATGGTATGTCTTCGTATGTTAATACCTTGTTTGAATAAAGATATTATTATTATTATTATTATTATCACTACTACATCTACTACAGTAAGTTAAGTACAGTCATTAACATAAACAAATCGAATATTCTTTTCATACGACAGACAGACAGAATAGTTTATTGGCGTAAACAGTACAGTTCATTGTCATATTTTACATAAAATCACATATACTTGTCAAGTGTTTATCAAATCGATATATTTGAAGCTTATAATATAAAATGTTTTTTCTCCAGGTGGATGCTATCTTTGAAAATTTAGGTGAATATGGAACGAGCATGCCGTTGAGAGTGTACTTTCAACAATACCAAATCATTACTGTAAGTGCATTATATTTTGAAATTATTTATAGTGGTAGGCATTAAGCCACATTGAATTTACAGCACATTTCAGCCACCGCACGCATCGTTCCTGTGCAGGCTGTCAAGCAGTTTACTAGTAAAAGCTGCCTTCATTTTCGCAAGAAATTGATAATTTTTGTACATACCAGATCAGAGGTACAGTGCAAATGACCATAGAATGGATATCATAATCAATCACAATGAAATTGACCTGCACCGTAATCCCCGATTCACAGTCCAATGGTCAACTCTTGAGCTAACTGGGCACATTATTTATCACGATCTAGGTTGTTTAGAGGTGAATACTTGGTTGCTAACGCCATTATGAGAAAAGGCACGAGGATGTGTATAATGCCATGATAGCTACATGTCAGAAGATTGTTATGAATTTGAGTGTCACATAGTTCTTGATATGTTATTTATTCAACTTCTTCCTGTAGTCCTGACAGTATAAATTCCAGTGCAATGATCACCTTAAATAATGGTGCAAAAGACGCTCTCTAAGTCATTTTATTAATTAAAATTGTGTTCCAACATAATACGCCATTACTTGTCTTTAAAAGGGGAAGAAGAAAACATACGGGTCAGTCAAACAACACGCACAAAAAATCGTTTACTATAAATAACATTTGTAATACATTCACAGAATTCGAAGCAACAGAAATGGGTAGAGGATAATATGTCTGGAGATGAATTACAATCATCAGCTGTTACCGATTTCCAGGCATATTACAACAAACTGTATACAAAATTCGCTTTTCCTTACGCTGATCACGTGATGGCTTTAACAAAGTGAGTAGAACAGTTCAATTTAAAAATATACTGGATAAAATCTCAAAACTTAACTATTTTTTTGTTAGAGAAGAGTTAAGCAGCTTTGACTAAGGTAATTATAGTATTTATGTGCTTTAGAGGCAATCCTAACGTTTCTTCTCTTATTTGTCTTCAAAATCTGATTTGAAATGAGCCTTACGTCAGAATTTTGATACTTTTATTTTGAAAACTACAAAACTACATGATAACAAAACGAGATGCTGTCATCATAAAAAAGATATAGTCTACAGAATTGATGTTCTAGAAAATGTTAGTATCAAAAAAAAAAAAAAAAATATGACAACTCCCAAAATGAGAGTTATTTAAGAAATTAATAATTTTAGTTTGAGGTTGTTTATCTCAAGTAACTCCATGCTCATAAATGACGTCTTAACGCTTCGGAACAAATACGCAGACAAATATGCACACACAAATAAGCCAGGCTTATTTAAAGCTACATTAAATAAATTTCATTCAAACAGAAATAGAGACATTTCATTAATACATTGGGATTCATATCGACTCCAGATCTTTATTATGGTGTCAAGACAACCAAATTGCGTTTTATAAGCATACATATATGCGACCTCATTGTGGCGAAATCGGAAGTACAATTTCTATTTGCATAAGAAACTCCGCCCGTACATCAATATTAAATCAACAAACATGGCGATAAGTAGCAGTCCTAATATAACGGTATATTTCCGCATTGTAACGGATGTTTTCATAGAAATTTAATATTTTTATCAGATGATTACAAGTGTACCGTGAAACTAAAACGGTTAAAGTGTGTTTGCACGTGAAAATCTCATATTTGCTGTGTTCTGTATAGCAACTATAACACCGTGACGTAGCACATACACGAACTGATTATAGTCTTCATTTGCATGTTAAAATTCGTATACGAACTTTAGTGTTACCGTGGGGTTTTCCGTTTATAATCCTAATTTATGAACAATGTTTGATGAAATTTACAACAATTCTGTTAAAAAGGTTAATGAAACTGTATAATGCTTGGTTTTTAGGCCGACTGCAAAATATTTTTTACATATTTATTTAATGTAACTTAAGCAGTACAATTTTATAATCATTTTACCATAAATAAATTAATCAAATTAAATAATGAACTGTTTTTAGGTTACAAATGGCAGACGGAGACCAAGGTAAAATCTTTATGATTTACACATATCAAACTTTTGCCAAACTTACGCTTCCACAACATGCCAACATGTATTTAATACTTTTATTTACTTCAAGCATATTTTTAATAATCTATGTCGTTAAATTTTATGAATGTGTGAGTAGGACTAAATATCGTCAATAGCAATTCTCCCCATACAGTTTTATAACTACACATTCTGTTCTGTTGTTTATTAACAATAATTGTCAGAGAATTCGTGCACTAAGGTTATAGCTACATGTAGTAAGTTGACATTTTTGTACTGATTGCAATAAAGATCGCCTGTAATTTGGGGTACAAATGCACGTTTTCAAGTCATTCATATGTTTATTTTGAAGTGTTTTTCTTTTATATATTTTTCTTTGGTTAAATTTGAGTTTCAGCCTTCCGAAGTACATAAACTTAGTATAAATTATGTTATACTCAATTGTACGTACTATCTTTTCATGATCATTTTTATGTGTGGATTTATAAGCTTTGTATGTATTGCCCCATAGGCTTATGATCCTTATAGAATTGACAAACTAGCTCTAATTAACTATTTTATACAATATAGTAATGACAGCTGGCAGCATGTGTGGGGAGACAGCAAATGTGGCGGCATCTATTGTTCGTATTGACCACTTTCAAGTTGCCATGTCTCAAGCGATAGCTCGGACGTAACCAATTTTACTTACACATTACTAAATTTTGAAAAAGTAAATATGTCTTATATGTTATCATGACGATGCATGATATATAATGATACATTTGATAACAAAGGTAATGATTAACTTATTATTATGTCCAGAAAATATTGTCATTATCACCAAAAATAAAACCATAATTAAACACAAATATATGCTCCATGGCCAAGTCCTAGAGTCTGTTACAAATGCTAAATATCTCGGACTAGATCTATCTGCTGACCTTAAATTCAATACACATATATCTCGAATAACTTCCAATGCAAACAGATCCCTTGGCTTTATTAAAAGAAATGTCATTACTAAAAAATGAGAAAGTGAAAGAACTAGCATACAAGTCCCTGGTCCGCCCACAGGTTGAATATGCCTCAACTATTTGGTCTCCTTACACTAAAACCAATATTGACAAAGTTGAGATGATCCAGAGACGCGCAATAAGATGGGTTAAAAGGGATTACTCCCCTCACTCTAGTGTCACAGCCATGCAGGAAGAACTGGGCTGGCGACCCCTTGAACATCGCAGATTGGACTGTAGACTGATAATGTTTTAAGATATACCACAACCTAGTTGCAATTAATCTCCCAACTTATGTTCAAACCCCACATAGATTAACCAGACATATGCATCCCTTATCTCTACGCCAATTACAGGTATCCTCTGACTACCATAAGTACTCTTTCTTCCCTCATAGCATTATACTATGGAATAAACTTCCTAGTAACATTGCCACCCTGCCTAACCTGAGTCAGTTCAAACAGGCAGTGGTGGGTTTGCAGTACTAGTCTTACTCCCAGTGTTTTTAAACTATTTTATCTCTTATCATCTTGTTTCACTATTAACATTTTAACCATGACTAGAATACATTTTCAGTCTCGCCTTCCAAGCATGTCAATGTTTGGACTTTTCTTTTTTAGCTTTTCTTTTTACCTTTTACTAACAATCCGACGTGCACTAAATTCCTGCCTTTAACACTCGTAAGAGGGGTTGGCAGTATCCAGAGATAGATAGATAGATGTTATCATATTACAGCAGTCGAACTTTTCATGTCATAAACGACATCCAGGACATATTATCAGACGGAAAAAAAAGATTATGTCACAAATGAAATCTAAGTTATAATGTTACATTAATATCAAAGTTACAAACGAAAGCCAAATTAACCTGTCAAAAGTGTCAGTAAAGTTTATATGACACAGTAATAGCAAATATATAACCTCGCTAACCGCAGACAAATAATCATGTTAAAAATCAATTCATTAGCAGATCCCGACGAGAAACCTCAGGCGAAACCACAAACACATTTATCGAACTAATAGATATACTGTACATTTACGTATTTCAGTAAGATACAACAGCCATAGTAATTATTCTCCCTAGATATAAAACTGACGTTTCTTTTTTTACATACATCTTAAACTATAGGCGTAATGTTAAAGCCAGAAAAGAATATACGGCTGAGACCATCGTGCTACTCTTTTTTATTCTGAAAAACAGTTTACAGATATTCTTGTGCAGAAAAATGGTATACCCACTGTGTATATCCATAACGCAGGAATGTGAAACTATCGCAGGAGCTGTGCAATAGCAACACCGAAGCTGAGCAATATATTGCCAAGACGAGCAACATGGCAAGAAATCTTAAAGTAATTCAAACTGAAACAAACGAATAAGTATATGGCAGCTAAGACTTTCACATTCTCGCGAATATAGACAGTGAAATCTTTTATTGTAAAAATAAAGTTAAATGATATTGAGAAATATACGATGGGAAATAAAACTTTGGTTGCATAACAGACATCTTTTGTTTTTTGGTTAAGATTCGGGGTAAATTTCGATGGTTCATCAAACAGTTGTGAAATTAATGATCAATACATCATGTCCAGTGATTATAGTGTTGTGACAGACCCATCAATACAAGGGAACAGATGGTTATTCTCAACATGTAGCGTAGAAAAGTTCCAAGCTGCGATGTACGTATAATGAAAAAAGTCGAATTCTTGGATTGTTACGTTACGTTAGTTATTTACTTCATGGCCAAATATGTCAATTTGTTTTATTTACCGATTAAAAGTTGATTCGTTTGAAATTTAAATAATGTTGAAGGTGTTTTAGCCAAATATGAAAAAAAAAAAAAAAATTAGATTTGCTATTTCAATGGTTTGGTACTGACACAATAGTTTCATAACTGATTAATCTTTTCAAGCCAAATTATACACAAGTGTGCGACCAAAACTAAATATTTGCTGCAATTTAATCTGTGGTCGAAAGAATGGAAGCGATCCGCATAAATATTTAGCATCTATCAAATTTTTTTATTAATAAGACAAAAATATTTAGTTTTAGCAAAAATAAAGTTCCCTTGACCATATTGTTTAAAATAAATATAAGGTTTTAAATGAAACATCTTTATATAGGTAAGATATTTAAGTAAAGGTTGTGCTGGATTTCAAAATCTAATTTGTTCTACATGTATGTAAACTTTTACTGAAACAATTCATTAATAATAAACACACGGAAACTATGCTAATAATCTAGCATACATTTACTGTTCGTAAATCATAGATACATTATTTATGAATATTTAAGGTACTTTTCTGTTACGATTTTAGCATTTTTATTTTTAAAGTAATGGCGGATTAGACCTAAGTTGTCTTCAAACAGAGGATAAGTATTACGACTGGGAAAAGTTTAACAATGCCCCTTTTATGAGTGAAGAAATATCTGCTGATCAACAATGCGAAATACGTTACCAAAGTGGGGCTACATTTTGCGTATGTAATATTTTGAATATAATGTTTTATTAAACCGTTCTTTCTACAGGTTTTTAATTCTTATTTAAAACTAATATAAAACTGTAAATATTTAAGAATATAAAAGGAAAAAGGGTAAAGGGTTTGTTTATTATAGTGTCTCCCCTACTGAAAGGGCCAGCCATTTCTGACTTATAAGACACCTTTTGCTTGTATACCTTTTACCCCAACTGCTACCACTATGCCAGGCGCCAGGCGGATAGAAAATGGTAAACATTCATTTTAACTACCTTGCTGCTCACGAAGCGGCCATTTCAGAATGAGTTCGACGAGAAACATTAATTCCTCAATTAACGCTCCACGTGGGTCTCGGACCTTCGACCTCACAATCCGAAGGCTGACGCCTTAACCACTAGGCCGACGGTACCGGTTGTACCAATATATGTATATACAAGTATTCCTCTAATGCTCATTGGACCGATAAATTTTGAAGAAGTTTCAAATTTGTTGTCAAAACAGAAACCAAGTTTGAACACACTGTTAAATATGATGAATTTATTATAATGATTTTATTTACAGTGCGCATGTGTCTTTAATTATTACACATGCGCATTGAAGTGTTATATTTCTAGGATAATAGCAATCAAAATATGGTTGATTGCTACAGTGCAACACAGGGCTGCCTAGTCAATGGTGTGTGTGAACCATTTACTGTGTCACATAGGACATCATGTGGGAATACAAAGGGGGTAAGACAGACAGCGTTATACGAGGGACGGTCAGAAAATATCCGGACTTTTCATGCTCCTCTCTTTCTACGTGCAGCTATATACACACATTATATATTGGTGAAAACTACATTCATTCGCCAATAACGTGGTCAGTTTATTTTCAATGATAGTTGTGTATACACAGTATTTTGCCCTGTGATATATGATAGGTGTTTCGTCTATCATGGACTCTTTGTTAGAGGAACAATGCTCTTTAATAAAGTTTCTGGTTGCAGAAGGTGAAAAGCCCTGCCACATATTTCAGAGGCTTAAAAAGATTTTCTGATAAATGAGCATCACGTTCAACCTTCTACAACTGGGTTTCTCAGTTTCGTGAAGGAAGAACAAGTACTTGTTACAGGCCTAGGACTGGCGGCCAGCTGAGGCGGTGACCCCAACAATGGTAGCAAATGTTAAAGCTTTTGTCAACAAAATCGTCGAGTAACTTTGGAGGAGGTAGCAAACAAGTTTAGCATCGGTAAGGCATCAGCACACAATATTTTACACGAACACCTAGGCATGATCAAGGTAAGTGCCAGGTGGGTGCCTAGACAGCTGTCCGCAGATCAAACGGTAACCAGAGTAACCAATGCAAAAGAACATTTAAGTCGTTTTAATCGTGAAGGAGATAAGTTTTTGAACCGCATTATCACTGGAGTCATTATTCCGAACCTGAGACAAAAGCTCAGTTGTGGAAACGAGCTGGTTCCCCACCTCCTAAAAATTTAAGCTGTCTCCTTTATCTGGCAAAGTCATGCTTGTTGCCTTTTGGGATTCACGAGGAATGATACTTACTCATTTCATGCCAAAAGGTCAAACTGTCGCCGCCAAGTACTATTCTGAAGTACAAATTGTAATTCTGAAAAATCTCAGAGGTAATTCTGAAAAATCTCAGAGAAAAGCTGAAGCAAATGCGTCCCAGGTTAGCACATAAAAATGTCCTCCTTCTTCACGATAACGCCCCCTCCCATACCGACGCAGCTACAGTGGAGGTTATCAACTCTTACAAATGGCAATTGTTGTCTCACCCTCCTTATAGCCCAGACCTCGCCCCCCTGTGACGTTTATTTGTTTCCAGAACTGAAAAAATTGCATGCTGGAAAGAAATATAAGACCAGGGCGGCTTTGATATCTGCTGTACACACTACCCAAAGTCATGGTTCACAGCGGGAATACAAAAGCTCCCACGAAGATGGCAAAGGTGCGTAGACGTAGGTGGAGAAAGAGTAGAAAGATTTTTTTTTAAAATGTTGAATGGTTTTCGAGAACGAGTCAAAAGTCCGGATATTTTCTGACTTCCCCTCGTATATAATTGTATTAATTATTCATCTGATTTATTATTTCATTAATTTTATTAATACACTTTAGATAATATGAGCGTCAACTTTTTAGCTCGACTTTTCTATGAAAAGGGGAGCTATCCTACTCGCCCCGGCGTCGGCGTCGGCGTCGGCGTCGGCGTCACACCTTGGTTAAGTTTTTCGTACCACCCCACTTTATTTCAGAAGTATTACAAGTATGACTTTGAAACTTACCATACTTGTTCACCATCATAACCTCCATCTACAGACAAGAGTACATAACTCTGTCAAGGTTTTTGACAGAATTATGGCCCTTTTTTGACTTAGAAAGTGTATTGAGCTTGGTTAAGTTTTTTGTACCACCTCACTTTATTTCAAAACCATTGGAGGTATTGCTTTGAAACTGACCATACTTGTTTACCATCACGACCTTCATCAACAGACAAGAGGACATAACTCTGTCAAGGTTTTTGACAGAATTATGCCCCTTTTTGACTTAGAAAATACATTGAATATGGGTAAAATCCACTTATTGCCTTAACCCTTTGAGATATTGCTTTGAAACTTTTAATGCTATTTCACATCATTACCCCCATCTGTACGCAAGAGAAGGTAACTCTGTCAAGGATTTGTTTTAAAAATTAAGGCCTTTTATCGACTTAGAATCTTGGTTAAGTTTTTAGTACCAGTCCACTTTTTGACTGAACTGTTTGAGATATTAATTTGAAAGTTGGAATACTTGTTTACAATCATGATTCCCAAACATGTCCAGGAGAAGGTAATTCTGTCAAAGATTTTATTTGAATTATGGCCCTTAACTGTCAATGTTTTGACTTAAACATTTCAAACTTTGCTGCAGTGTTCAAGGGTATCACACAATTCAGTAAAATAATTCTTCACTAAATATCTTAATGCTCATGGCCATTGTTCACTTTAAAAATACAGAGATTCTTGTATTGCCTTTTACTGCAAAAACTTTTTTTATTGGTAAGCAATAAAAAAGTCGAGCGCGCTGTCTTACGGACAGCTCTTGTTTCTTTTCTTCTATGTCGAATAATTTCAAAATATAGAAGAAGGGTGATCCCTAGGAAGTAGTTTCTTTTGTAGAAATACGATGATGTTTTGAATTATTTTGGTGTGTGTCTCCGCGTAACGAGCTGTAATGATTACGTAAAATTCCAATATTACCGGGTAAATTGATATACATGTACATACGTTTGTATATGAATCGGACAAGACTATTGCATGTGGTCAGAATTCACAGATGTGCAGGTTGACCGGGTTCTATACTGGTTTTATATGTAGGTCATAGGTACTAGGTTTTAAACAGTTAACACAATGTTTGTCTTCACAGTTAACTTGTCAGTTTGGATTTTGTAAAGAATCATCAACGGAGTCTACGACTTCTTTCAGTGATCTTCAGACGACAACACAACCGTTTTCATGTGTGTTGAAAACAAAAGTTAAAGATTACGATGTACCAGGTATTTTGTACTTTACTAACTTTTTAATATTTAAACAAAAAGTGTACTTTGTAATAAACATGTCACTTAAATTCCACTCAGACTGTTGAATCATAAGTTGTCGTTCTAATTGTTGTGAATGCGATACACGTTCATTTAGTTTCTTTCATTATTATCATCATCATCATCATCATCATCATCATCATCATCATCATTATTATTATTATTATTATTATTATTATTATTATTATTCCGTTGACCGTTGCCTCAATGGATCGGACTTCAGTACTATGTACAAACGTGACAGATGTTGACAATTATTTAGTTCTGATTTAACATACCGAATTATAATTATATATATTACAGGATGTACGTGTGCAGGTTGTGATAAGAACAACAAGGATTGTGAGCAAGGTGCTCATTGTTTTGGCAAGAAAGTCCGAGTTACAACAACGTAAGTATAATTTTATCTATTCAATTAACTAAAGTCTTATTAGCATATGTACGTTCAGTGAACTTTTATGATCAATACAACAACAATAATAATAATAATAATAATAATAATAATAATAATAATAATAATAATAATAATAAAAGAAAAAGAAAAAAAATTTTTTTTGTTGTAACCCGAAAAAAGGTAACGTAATTGACCCTTGGTCTGCTACAAAAACCAAAGCTTTGTTATCAATGCAATGCATATTTACCAAAGATATAGCAAAATGAACTTGAAATCATGTTATTTAATGTTTTATCAGATATGTTCACGAGAGTTGTGCCTCGCAGTACGAATCTGGACCAAGAAGAATTATCACAATGCCTGAAGATAAAAATAAAAAAGAAATAACTGCAGAAGTGTTCAAAAATGATTCCGGTAAATGGAAGGTAGAACTGGTGGAGAAGAAGTAAAATTGAAAACTAAAAATATCACAAAAATATAAACTATTCATTAAGTAGATATAAATGTCACATAAAAATAACTAATGAAATATACATGTCCAACATACATTTGAATTTTGTCTTTCTTAACCATCCACACGACTCCACTTCATATTCTTTAAAATTGCATTAACATTCTATAAAGAAAACGATTGTATTGTCGACAGTCTATGTTGTTTGTTGTTGAATTATGGTCGTTTTCTTATACAAGCTGACTTATATTAGTTTCTTGATAACCTAAATATCCCTCCCTACAAGAAACAAAAATCCATCAACACAGAAAAGACAAACAAGAATAAATGGCTCGTCTCTGATAAAAAAAAATTCAAAACAAACATTTTATTGGCATAGACGTTATGTAAATGTTCATCGCCAAATTCAAACAATGATATTGTTGTATATTGCATAAATGGTAACGGCGAAGAGAACATTACAACTGCATTGTATCTATTTGTTCATACAAACTGATTGCCAATGCATTTGTATACTACTAACAACAAAATTCACCACGAAGAAAATTACCATAAAGCATAATGTACTGTCGCCTTTATTGCGAAACAATAGCTTTAATCTCCTATTTTATATGAAATGTTTAACAATATTGTTAAGCATTAAAAAATAGTCTTCCTTGGCAAATCAAACTAGAACTATTGCTGGATGCAAGTCATACCCCCACCAATGTCCTTGACAGAAGATGACTTGGAAAGGTGGTTAAGGGAATAACTTTAGTGGCACAAATACATATACATAAAAAGAAATTATCCCTGGTGAAAAAAGACAAATTGTACTGGTAATAGTATAAATATATATTGTCAAATCATGTTCGAAACAGTTACAAATAACCTTTCATTTTCCCAATGTACTAAAACAAACAAAAGCAGTGAAGTTAAGAAAATAGCATAATTATGTTAATTATGTCAGAGTTGAAAAACTTTGCATACTGAGCTTACTTGTGACCCTTCATATATTATATAGTTTCAAGTGAATATATGTTTTAGTTTCAGAAACATTTAACTATTAATGGTTATATCAGAACATTTTTTAAGCCTAAAAGGGGCATAACTTGTGTCGTAATTTAATGAAATTGTAGAATGTTCATCATCTGAGCTTGCTTGTAACCATTCATATAAATTTTAAGTTTCAAGTAAATATCTGTTCTGGTTTAAGAAATATTGTAGTAAATAAATTTAAAACTTAACTTTGTCAAAATACAATACAAAGTTATCCCCTACACTTTTTTAGTTATGAAACTTGACCTGCATATCTTACTTGCGACACTTCATATATATTTGAAGTTTCAAATGATTATCTGTTCTAGTTTTAGAAATATTCAAGTACATGTTAAGATTTCAGAACATTTTCTGTTTCAATTTCTGACCTTCAAGTGTGGCCTTGACCTTAAGCTGTCACAAGGGTAAGATCGGTTCTGCACATTGCCCAGTTTGGGTGAACATTCGAGTCAAGTTTGAAGAAAATCCTTCCATCAGTATAGAATTTATAGAGCGGACACGACATATTGTCTAGTATTGATTGTAGTTAATTTAAAGACTTAAAAAAGGAACATAACTTTGTCAAAATGCAATACAGAGTTATGAAACTTGACCTGCATATCTTACTTGTGACACTTCACATATCTTTTAAGTTTCAAGCAAATACCTGTGCCAGTTTCAAATATATTCAAGTACATGTACACGTAAAAATTTAAGAACATGTTGTAAGTCAATTTTTGACCTTCAAGTGTGACCTTGACCTTAAGCCGGCACAAAGGTAACATGGGTTCTGCACATTACCTTGTTGAGGTGAGCATTTGAGTGAAGTTTGAAAAAAGTTCTTCCATTAGTATAGGATTTATAGAGCGGACACGACATATTGTCTAATATTTGAGTGTATGTAAATTTGAAGACTTAAAAAGGGGCATAACTTGAAACTTGACCAGCATATTTAAATTTAAATGTGACACTCCATATATATTTTAAGTTTCAAGCAAATACCTATTCTAGTTTTAGAAATATTCAAATACATGTTAAAATTTCAGTCAATTTTTGACCTTCAAGTGTGACCTTGACCTTAATCCAGCAAAAGGGGCAACATGGGTTCTGCACATTACCTTGTTAAGGTGAACATTTGAGCCAAGATTGAAGAAAATCTTTCGATTAGTGTAGGACTTACAGGGCGGACACGACATACTTGTCTAATATTTGATTGTTTGATATTTGACCTTCAATTGTGACCTTGATCTTGAGCTGACACATGGGCAACATAGGTTCTGCACATCCCCTTGTTGAGGTGAACATTTGAGCCAAGTTTGAAGAAAATCCTTTAATTGGTATAGGATTTATAAAGCAGACACGATAATGGAGACGGACTGACGGACCGACGACTGGCGGACGGACGGAACGGATGCGACAAAGCGAATCTATTTAGTCACCCATATATTGTGGTAGGGGTATAACTAACAAGTATGTCACAAAGTAAATATATTCGAAAAAAAATCGTTTGCCGTATACTTATAAATCTGGTATGATCAGTCTTCGCCAAGCACTGGCAAGTATAGCATCCGGTTGTGATGATCTCAACAAAATAATTAATGAAATTACTAACTTGTGAGTCAAAGTTATTTTCTTATGATGACTGTAACAATTTATTAGTCATTAGGAATTGGGTATAGAAACAAAATACTGGTCGGCATTGTATACAGTAAGGACAATTGCTTGATCTGTTGGTCCAGGTTCCGTGCAAGTAGGTCCCCGAGGACCAAGACCATCACTTTATGAAACGCATGAATTGGGCACCCAGATTTCTCGATGTGAACCCCATCGGAGATGCTTGGGACAAATTTGGGCCAACGTTCATGTCAAAAAAGCCAATTGGGAATAAAAAAAATCAAACGATTTGAAGAGGAGCCCCAATTTTTTCCCCCCTTTGTGTTTTCATTTTGGGCTAAATATTTTTGTAAAACCCAAAATATTTGGGAAAGGAAGGGAGGGCATAAAAACAAAAAATTTGAAATAAAGAGTTTTTTGGGTATAAATTTGGGATTTTTCAAGGTTTCCCCCCGAATAAAGTTTTAAAATTGGAAAATTTTTTGAAACCCAAATGACAATTCAGTAAAAAGACAATTTTTCCACATAACAAACAAAAAAATTAAAAATAAATATACAGTAAAAATTAAACTAGTATTCATGGATATATACATCTATGATATCTAAACGTAATTAAAGATTGTGAACGTCGTGTTTTTTATTTATATTTACGTTCATTAAGATCTTAACATCAAAAATATACTGTACTTGTTACTCGTCATATGTGTTCCTCGATTAGCCACAGTACAAATTATAGGGTTTAAAATGCCATGGGCCACATTATTTTCTTACAATAACAATTGACCACACATTTTCAATGTAATGTTTGTTGACAATGAAAATAACAATTATAAATTAAAGATAAATTGAATGAAGAGATATTTAAGTAAACAACTTATGTTAAAATGTTTTACGGTATAATTCTAGTTATAGAAGCATTGGGATATTGTTCAGTTATTGGGGAGATATTGACAGGTAAATCATATCACCTTGCTGAAAGAAATTTATAGATTTCTCCTTCTATTCTAAACAGTTTCATCTTTGTCAGTCATATAATTGGAGATAAGTATGTGTATATAAGAATAATGTAACCGTACATATCCTTTTTACCACATTTAAATGACATTCTATCATCATATACTAATAACGTGGCATGACTGGGACTTATGTCACCTTTTCTGTATCAATTAAATCAATAGCAGCATTTCTTTATCAAGAATTGTAACAAAACTGGTAGCTTGCCTATGAAATATATCTTAAATTAATTTCAGTAAGTGTAAGTAATTAACTATTCTTAAATAATTAAAAGGAATGAATCTATTATGCTCTTTGTATCATTTTTTTTTTTGGCATTGTGCATATACTAGTTTTGAAAATCTTTGTATTCAGGTTACATTATGATAGTTATTTACTTATTGAAAGACTGGCGGAAGACTGATATCTAATAAACAGAATCGAAAAAGGATATTTGTGCATTTCTGCAAAAAAATCAATACATTGTACCTTTCTTATACAAAATGACAAATAATATTAGTTTGTTTATAACCTAAATATTCTTCCCTACAAGAAATAAATGGCTCATAACAACATGAACAAATGTACAAAATATTATCGTGATTTTATCAGTACATCTGTAATCCGGAAATCTGAGGAAAAAGATCATTTTCTTTTAAGGAGATTTAAGTCATCCTTGTATCAAACCATAATATTTGGAATTAAAATTGTATAAGTATTGTGTGTACATTGTGTAAATAAACGGTCATTTGTTGTTTTATTTGTACCATAATAAATTATTCAATTAAAAAAATGCAAATTAACTTTACATTTAAACAAATAATATAAAGGTTACCACATGTTTATATCTCATTAGATTTAGTAGTAGTAGAGAATGTGTATTACCATGGAAACAGAAGATTTCCGGATGTTATAGATGTTCATTTGAATCATAATGACAACAACATTTACTTGAGGCTAAATAAAGATAGCGAGACCACTGATATTCTTAGTGAGGACTTGTTTCAAACCTCAAATATTCTTCCCTCTGGGCTCTTCAAAGAAGACAAAAGAAATGTGAGCTATTTTTGTTTTATGATGAAGCATATTTTATAAAGTAATCACCATTAGCCCCTAACAGCTATTGGTTTGAATCCGCCAGTGACTTTGGATTCTTTCATGTAAGAAAGTTTTCCAGCTAGCTTGCGGAACGACGGTGGTTATACTCAGGTCCCCATTCGTGCCTGAAATAATTGAGCATTTGAGATCTCACACCACCAGTGAAGCTGCAAAGTTGCCATATGACCTCTTCTGTGTTTGTTCGACGTAAAACCCAATACAAAAAGCATTGTATTCAAATAAATGTAAATATTGTTTGCTGCTTGTTTTTGTCACACTTATATTTTGACTATTTGAAGTGAAGTTATTAAAAAAACACATTATGTTCAAAGATGACAACATTACTTGAAATAAGCTGTAATACGTAGTTATAACCTGTTTTATATATCTGGCATAGTTATATTGTTTGATACAGCTATTGTTTCTTTTTCAGAATTTTGCAGCGTATGATTCTGGAAATTCTGATATTTTGATTGTTCATAGAGAATCTTCAGATGCTTTGCCAAAATTTGTAAAAAAGTTTTGTTTTATCACTTTGTTTAAATAGCAATGTTTACTCTTTCTAAGCAACATAGATGTTTTTGGCAGAATGAATTTGCTTATTATTGCCATTAAGTTAATAATTGAACGTACTTGGTGATCTGTGTAATTTAAAGGGGCTTCTTCAAGATTGATTTTAACAGTATTGAAAAAGTTGATATGTTCATAAGTTCATATGTGCGTTTCAGTAAATATGTTTTGGAAATGTTATTATACTCTTAAATGACTCATTCAATTGATATAAGTGTAGTAACTATATCACTTGACAAAAATAAAATTTCATTTTACAAGTAATCAATTTTTGTCTACAAATTCAGAAATACCAAATAACATCAACGAATACCATTTATTATAGTATGGTAGATTTACAAGCAACAAGGAAAAACTGGTGATATTTTCTCAGGACGGAAGCCATGACAATCATCACGTAAGACGAGATTTGAGCCAAACAGGTACTCTTCAAATTAAAGTTCTGAAAAGTACGAATCCCTTGAGAGCAAGAAAAATTGAATTTTTAAATAAAAATCTCATCTTGTTAGACACCATTGAACATTGCATACGCTCGGTGCTAGCTTAATCTGTACGGTATATGAAATGGTACAAACCTGAAAGATCAAATAAATAAGAAAATCTTTATATACAGACATGAAGAAAATGCGACAAATAATATGTATTTAAATGTTTTATATATTCGAAATGTATCAGAATACCTGAAAAACACTGTATTCTGAATGAATCGTGTTTCAAAAAACTAAATAGAAACATGATAAGATTTTTTAATTTAGAAATATTACATTATCAAATAATTATCATAAGTAATATACTTAAGGACAATGAAAACGCACGCCCGCACTATATGCATCTAATTACATGAAAACAAAACACTAACGACTCCATTAGATATATATCATAACTTCAATACAAAAAGCAAACTTAACAGCTGAAAATAATTCAAAATGTTTAAAATCAAATGTACACCAGTAAATCGAAAAACCTTTGGTGAAAATCCCAAAATCACACTTTTTCATCATAGTAATGCAAACTTAACAAAGGCAAAACCCAAAATGAAAATCCCAAACAAAATCACTCATAAATTTATATTCGTAATGTCACCGTCGGGATCTTTAGAAACGACAATGTCCTACGTCAGCGTCTCTTACAGATGTACATCGTCGCCTCATAGACCTTACGGTGCGGATAGTCGTCTGTAGAATCTGACGCCATTCGGCCTGTAGTGTAGTGGTGAAACTGGTGAAGCCGAGAAATTGTAGACCGATGGACAGCAAAACGGTTTGCGCTTTGATAATACAAAATTTGATTGTAAGATAGACCAGGCTGAATCTGTCCTAAATCTACCCAGCCGTTAATTCTTTGTTGAACCATTGCATACAATTTGCTAGCAAATCTTCAGTATTGTTTGAAATTAAGCACCTTTAATAGAGGAAAAGTGTGTATATGCATTTTCAATGTAAGCTTTTACGATTTCTAAAAATTACAATTGGCATAGTTTAATATTCATTTTCATTAAAAAATTTAATTGCTAATTTGTGTCTAACATTTCTAGAAAGGTGTGAAAAACAGGTTAATAATTAACAGTTTAAAAAAAATAAATAATTTCATTTCATAAAGTAACCATGAATTGATTAAATCTGTTATCTGTTGTGATCTTATCACAATTAGCCAAAAGTGTTACTTTTGATTTTTCGGGTACTGTCTTTATCATGCAATAACTTCATTAAAATGCAATCATTTTTCATAACTTTGGTATCTAAATGACCGAAATGCATTCGGTTTTATGAAACTGTGAAAAAATATTTAAAAGAAATATATTTTCCTTGTTAAAATGCAATTATCCCGGCCGTGCGTTTTCATTGTCCTTAAGTATATAAGACACTTCAACTTTATAGGCCTCTTACAACTTCTCTAATGTTTTCACTTAAATCTAATACATTTCACCTATAACTCTTCATATATGTTTTCTCTTCATAACGTTAGATGCCATTAACAAGAACAGAAATGATACCGCCGACGACATATTAGAGCTGTTTATATTTGCTGATCTCTCTGTCTATCAACAGTAAGTTCTTGATTTATTAGACAGATTTTAAGATAAATCAACACAACAACAACTCTACTCAAATCTGTGAAATGATATATCTAGCCTAAACTACTACATCTAAGATTTTAAATAAATCTGCAAGAAGTTAATAAAGCTTACTTAGTAACTCGAAATTTCGACTTAGTTACATTACTAGAATGGCCGAAAAAGTTATCAGTTACTAAGAGTTTAGAAAATAAAAGATATAATAGGGAGTGCGATTGCCAAAGTTGCTTTCGAGTTACTAAGTCGACATTTCGTGTTTCTAAGTCGACATTTCGAGTTACTAAGTCGACATTTCGAGTTCTTAAGTCGACATGTCGAGTTACTAAGTCGACATTTCGAGTTCCTAAGTCGAAATTTCGTGTTACTAAGTCGAAATTTCGAGTTACTAAGTCACAATTTCGAGGTATTAAATCGAAATTCCGAGTTAATAAGTCAAAATTTCGGGTTAGTTAGTCGAAATTTTAAGTAAATAACTCCAAATTTCGAGTTAATAAAATACACACACCTGCCGCTATTGCTCTTCCGTAGATTTTAGATAGAAGTGTTTGAACGCTTTTCATTTTCGAGTTGAAATTAATATTCTGAAAAAAAAACAGAGCGGGTTAATGATGTGTAATTATACACACAAGGTCCAGACCTACATCTTACTATACACAAATCTCGAATAAATATTAACTGTACAGTTATGTCAAAAACTTTATAATGATTAACATCAACCATTTTACAGTGTGCGAGACGAACTAATGCCAGACAAAACAGCAGATGATATAAAGAAGTTCCTTAGAACTTATTTAAAAGCCATAGCAAAGGAGGTATTTATACAAATTTCAGAATTTTCTTACCACCAAAGATAGTTTTTTTTACATAATAATAATTTTATATTCATAAGCATTTACAAAGTAAGATGCGTAAATAAACTTATCCAGTATCTAGCAGAAATAATTTGATTTTAATTAATGCTATATAAGGGTATGTTCATGTAGTTTCCAAATACTTTTATTCTAATCGTAGTTACGACAGCGTAATTGAACGATTTTAAAATCCAATAGATATGTTTAATCTACATTCTTACTATGAATTGACTATATATTTCTATACTGCTCAAATTTGATATTTGGAAATATTGATAATTGCTATACAGTCTCTTTTTAATATAAAATAATGTTTTGACTTCACCCAAAGCTTAAAAATTTACACACCAAAGGTGGTCACAATATAAATATATAGCGGCATTAGAAAACTGGCAGTGCTTTATGATAAGAACAACTTGACCTGTAGTAGATAACACAGCTTCCCATACATAGTGTATTCATTCCTTTATTCAAATTAGACATATTAAGTAAGACTTTCACAGATTTCAATAAATTTCTGTTATAAAAAATATTTTAGTCAAGTATAAGCATAGTATATCTTTACAGTTTCTAAATCTATGTTCTTTTGAGGTTGACACAATTTACCAGTACCTCGGTGTTTTCGGAACTAACAGGACGATGAGAATATACCTTCAACAATATCAAACTATTACGGTAAGATAATTAAAAGATATCAAGAATGAAGAGCACAAAGATGCAAAACAAAACAAAAATGAATATCTCAAATAAAAAGATAGAACACTTGCAGATACTTATAAAAAAAAATTTTGTTTTTGTTTTTTTCTAATCACACCCAAGTTCCAATTTATCCAGCCACTTAATAAAGAACCATTGTTTGAATTTCTGTGTTTAACACCGATTTTACCACATTTCTTGGTCATAAGAAGAAGAATTTTATTTCAAAATCCACATGTAAACAACAACAGTCTGGTTTAGGCTAATAAGCCCTTGACCTGACACAAAATAAAAATTACAACATTCTCAGAAATACAATACATTACACAATACATTACAATACAATGACGGACATCGAATAATAATATTACTCACTTTCAACATATTGTTACATTCATATATTATCAAAACTATATGATGTCATTTATTGATAAATTACAATTAAACATGAAAGTAAAACGCATTTATATGCATATGAGCCGCGCTGTGACAAAACCAACATAATGCGTTTGCGACCAGCATGGATCCAGACAAGCCTGCGCATCCGCGCAGTCTGATCAGAATCCATGCTGTTCGCTTACAAACCCTATAATAAGTAGAGAAACTGACAGCGAACAGCATGGAACCTGATCAAACTGCGCGGATGCGCAGGCTGATCTGGATTCTCCATTATGTTGGTTTTGTCATGGCGCGGCTCATATATTTCATATTAGAATTATACACTTAAGTCAAATGTAAGATTCATTGGAAGGTACATATTTATTATATTATATAATATTATTATGAATATCGTGACATAAATGGTCGATAAGATCAACACCTTAAATGTATTAACAAGTTTTACGGACATTACAAATAAATGACACCCTGCAGGGATTTTGATCAATATCTTTTTATGTTTCTCAAAATAGATCTGATAAACACGGGTCATTATATACGTTATATACTTTTACTTATGTATTCAACCATATTCATAAACGATTTACCTACTATAGTGGGTGTTTATCAAAATTTCAAGTAAAACCTGACACAATAGCTAACAGTACATTCTAAATGTGTAGAAAACTTACACCAGAGGGTGTTTTAAATCGACACATACATGTTTATATCAATGTAAGATCTGCAAGACCGATAACTACAGCAGTAACTCAGTGACCAAGCTTTTGTTGTATGTGATATATAAATGTAATGGCATGATTCGTTTGCTTTTACATTCATTGCTTGTAAATTCATCACAAATATCTGGCTCAAAACATTGGAAAACATCTAACTATAAACTAAAAGCGGGGAAGTATATGCAAGTGTTTCACAAGAGTAAGGAAATGATAATTTTGATCTTATCGATTTATTCATAAAATTGAATAAAAGTTTATTATATAAAACATTTACCATACATAACAATGTGTGAAAATCTTGTTTATTTTTCGATTTTACTTTTGTCGTCTTTCTGATCACGTTAGCTCTGTTTATTTCTTCAGCATTCGAATCAACAGAAATGGGTCGAAAACAACGTTTCTAACAATAGGTTACAGTCTGCAGCCGTCAGTGATCTTCAGTCATATTACGACAAACTCATAACAAGATTTGCATTTCCGATCACAGATCATCTGGTGGCTATAACAAAGTAAAAAGTTGTCTTTCTCTCCCGTCCTTTCCATATTTTTTCAGAAAGCCAGCAACAAGTTCGTATTCAGATTACAAAAATATATACGATGTGTTTCTAAAAAGAAACAGGCGGCATAAAAAACATTTAATTGTTGTTTGTATGCATACAACATTTAGCTAGACAAAATGATCTTGAAGGTTTTCAATAAATTAAAAGTATAGGACTAAGATGCCTTCGCATTGTTTTGGTTGTTAGTATGAATATAAAGATTCATTATTTATATAGATAGCAACTTTGTCATTCTTGAGTGTCCTTATAAATTCTAACATTTTAATATTTTCTTTTAGAATACATATAATTTATTTCATATATTTCTTTTTTTTTCAGATTAAACATTGAAGGAGATTTGCAAGGTAAAGGCCTACGTAATTTTTACCAAACTTACACTTTCCATATTCTTATTGTTCTTATTGCTGTGGAACATGTTGTTTTAATGCAATAAAATTATGTAGTTGTAGTTTTGGTTTTCTGTTCTGTTCGAAGAGTAATATAATCGTAAATATACAAAGATATTGTCTGAAAAATTATATATCGCGAATTTCTAAATTACATGTATCTTTTTGCAAAACAAACTTCTATAATTATGTTGATATGTATCCCGCACCACCAATTAGGCTGCATGTACATTTCCGATGGATATACTTTGTATAACTTATTGTAATCTTGTTGTGTATTCTTTATCATTCATTTCATATAAAAATAAACAGAATTGATTATATTATTGTATTTATCATAACAGTTATTTCGACTGGAAAAATATGCGGTAGTCGCACAGATTTGGCAACTTCGATAGTCCGAATTGATAATTTTCCGGTCACAATGGCGCAAGGGATCGCTCTAACGTATGGCCTTACATTATTGTTTCTCTGAAATTGTACCTAAAATACTTTAAATGATGAATTTCAAATATGAAAACTTTATTTACAGTAATAATACAGTTCATGTTATAGTTATGATTAACTTTGAAATGATTCAAAATGCATTAAATTTCTTTCTTTCTTTAAGACCGGTGTCATGCTTTATTTCTGTTTCTGAATTATTTACACTAAGGACTTCTTTACAATTTATCACTCATCAAAAACATTGTAGATGGTGTAGGCTTGTTCCACAATCGACATGAGTTAAACTTTAGTGGCATATAAAGGTTCCAATCAATATTTTAGTTTGTCGGTCCCCTTTGATGGTGAAGGTAACGATTGTAGCAGCATTGATCAGTTTATTATGTCACCAGCATATGGCCCAGTTACACATTCTTCAAAACAAGGCAACCGATGGAAGTTCTCTGAATGCAGCATTAACAATTTCAAAAATGCCTTGTAAGTTCTTTTATAATAACGTTTTGTCAAGCATCTCATTTTAAATTAATTGAAAGCGATGTAAATCCATCAAACTGGAATATGTCATACATGTATATTGTTGCATAAACTGCATTTGTAAAAAGTAACCAGCGTAATTTTTCATTTGTTTTAAAAGTTTATATGTGAAGCACAAAAATTTAAACTTGCCCAACTTGAAGGTAATTTACAAACACATATCTTTTCTATATAAAGTGACGGAGGGATGGATCTTAGCTGCCTTAAAATACAGGACGCCACCTTTGACTTTCAAGCATTTGATGAATCCTCATATATCAGCGAATTCCTTACATTGAACGAACAATGTGTGCTCCGTTATCAAGCTGGATCGACATTTTGTGTACGTGGAAAGATATATTATACATTCCCAGACACTTTCTAATTTCGCTTTTGGTATCATGTAAAGATTAATCGTTCGAAAATTAAATGTTGTTGTTCTTTAAAATAGTTTGTCGATCGTAAATTTCTTTTCTTGATGCTGGAACTATCAGAACAATAATAATTTTACCTTTTTTATCCACCAAGTAGAATAACTCTGGTCGCAAAAGCTTCATAGAATATATAAATAGAGCTATCTTATTTAAATCTAAGTCAAAGGCTTCATAATCTTGGAGTAAATAAACCTTAAGTATGGTGTACCTTTGATGCATAACATTATACGTTCTTTCTTTCTACCTATCAGGATGGCAGTCAAGGAAATAAAGTAGACTGTTACAGCTCAACGCAAGGATGTACTGATTCAGGCACATGTTCACCGTTTACTGTACCACAATTTACACCATGCGATTCAAGCAGAAGTCAGGATAATGTACGCATACAAAAAAAAATTATGATATTTCAACAAACTCATTGTTTATAAATGACGTACGGGCCTGAAACAATATGAATTTTATAAAGATTATCATTGCTTTACTTGAATGTAAATAAATAAATAAATAAATATTTAATAAGATTGTTATAAGTTAATAGATTTAAATAGTAACAGATTAATTAATAACATCAATCTTGACCGTTCAACTTTTGTGTTGCTGAAAATTTTGTTTATGATGCTTCGATGAAGTTTCAATAAAAAAAAATTTCTGTCAGCCGATTTGTAGGTTTGGAGTATGTTCAGCAGTTGTTAGTTTTGCAGCGTCTGGTTTGAATATCAGTTCCACATCGACGAGTTCGACAAGCAGCACTACAAGTTCTACTACTACAGATTTTGAAATAGCTATGTTATTCTTTTCGTCTTCTAACGCATCTTCAACTTCAACATCCACGGTGAGTATGTATTTGAAATTATGGATTTTGTTAAATTTCGAGTTGGCTGGATAAAATTTGAAAATTAATACATATAATGTATGATTAAATATATTTAAGTAACGTATATAAATGCCTCATTTCAAACTATTTACTTTCAAACAAATATCACAATGGTACACAATGTAAGGACTCGGTTAAGATACATTTTAAGAGTAAGAAAAAGTGCACGCAGTCCTTTTTAAGACATTTTAATAGCAACATTATTTTTTGTTTCCACCTGAAAGACAACATCTCCAACAACAGCTTCTTCTACGTCATCCCCAAAATCAGAATTGCAGACGACAACTCAGCCGGCGTCATCTACGAAAAAACCGAACCCCGATTGTGTAATAAAGACGGGCTTTGTGGAATTTGATCTACCAGGTATCTATCTTAAGAGACCAAATTCGAGGATTTTATTTTGTTCGTATATATACATGCCCAATTTTACATACCGTATATAATGTAATAAAAGTGTCCAATATATTTCAAACGTTTACCTTATGAAATGAGAAGTTCCCTTTTTAATATTTTGGTTATCTCCCTTCAATCATAAGAAAATACTCAAAAGTGGTGTTTTCTGCTAGAAATGTTCTGATTTTATGTCCGTTTCTCTTTGAATATAATTTTCTATTTCATTTTCCGCTTTCGTGTACAAATAAATACTTAGTGTCAGAAACTTTATGAAAATTAAGGTATTTATCGAATTGTGCAATGCATTTAATTTTATTTTCAAGCTATAATTCAAAGTTTGCTCTGATAAAACACTTATTAAAATATCAGACAATTGCTTATCACGCAGGTTGTGGGTGTTGTGGTGGTTGTGGTTGTGACGATAAGTGTACAAGTTGCTCCGGTCCAGGTGGTCTTCCGGCGTTTAACGAGACTGAGTCGTGTACAGAGGAATCTGAATGTTGTAAAGATACAGTCACTATTGAAACAATGTAAATATTAAAACATTATAGATAGAATACTAGTCTTCCTATTTCCAGACAATTGACATGATACTCAGTTCTGTATTTGAGATCCTAAAGTATTTACTTTTTTCATACATTTTATAAGTCTTTCACAATTAAAAACAAGAACAGTTCCTTAAAAATAAGATGTTTCAAGTTTATAATCTTAGTACATTCGGCATTGATGAATTTTTCTAAAATGCACAATTTTTAGAAAAGAATATTTTTTTAAAAAATGCTAGGATATATTGATAGGACAAAAAAGTAATTATTTTGACGTTAAACTAAAGAAGCTTCTTTTTTACCTTATGGCAAGTGTTTTTGAGCTACGGATTTCTTTGCTGGACATTAGAAACCTTTAATTTTTTTTGGTTTAGTTGAATCTTTTAATGTGTGTACCCGATTAACAGAATGTGGAATGTGTAGCTGGACACCAACTTGTGATTAATTGTTTTATTTGAACCAACATGTTAAAGGTTTGTACCTGAAGGCTGTGATGCGGAATTTATAGCCGGACCTCAGACGATTATCGTGGAGAAAAGAGGATGGGAGGATGAAGAACTTGACGTGACCGCTGAAGTATATCAAGATATTGCAGATCAGTGGCAAGTCAATTTGGTACCTAAAGATATTGACAGGAATTGACAATTATATCTTCAGTCTGCTAGATGTAGAATGTGCAAAGAACCCTCAAAATCTGAAATTGCAGTTGCTCATGCTATTATATTAAATATTGATTGATAAATCTCATTTCTTTTTGTTATTTGTATTTTTTTTTTTTACATTTTGGTAATATTTTGGACGACACGGTACCTTTCACTTTCCGTTATAACAGAGGAGAAAACCATTATTTGACACAAACACGAACACACACACATCCTAGTGCTCGTGCAATAATGATACAATATCTAGTTTTGTGTTAATGTCTCATGGTTTATATTATTCTTTAGAATAAATATAGGATATTTGCAATCCTCATGCATGTCATACGAGAAATATTATGTACCAAAGATATTACATGTCCGCACGTTAAATAATAGTTTACAAATAAAAATATACATTGTACATACATGAATGTTTTTCGCGAATTTCATCATTTTTTAAATTCGTATATGAGTTGTTTTGCAAAGAATACTAAACCAATATGGCAATCCTAGGTTATATTAATATCTGAAGGGACCATATTTTCAATTATCAAATTTAAAGATGATATTAACAATTTAATTTTATTGTCCATTTTGCCGTTTAAACATCGAACTATCCAAAGAGTAATAAAGGTAACAAACAATTCATAATATTAAATTAGAAAGAAAGCAAATGGACTCGAGACAACATTAAAAGTTTAATAGAGGGGCGGACAACCATTGATGTTACTGTGGTAATTACAATGTAGATGGGAAAAAAAGAATAAACATTTATAAGGACACGAGTGAATTAACATTCTTTTTCAAATTTGATCCTATAGATAACACTTACTACGCACTTTAAGTAAATACAATGTTTACGAATGCTAACAAACGCATATTAATTTACTTTATGATTGAAATAACACAAAAGCATGCCCGGTGGCCATTGTATTAAAACAACCAATAACATTAACATTAATATGTTAAAATATATTTCTTTCAGAAAACAAATTAACGAACTAATAACAACAAAGTAAACAAAATATACAGACAGATAAATAAATGTGAATTTATGGAAACTTTATTCTTTCAATTAGTTATAATTTATCTCGTGCGAAGCAGTGCGTTTATTCCGGCTGAAAATGAATCTTGTAAGTAAAATCTTATTAACCATGACCCTACTGGATCAGAATTTGATAATCCTTGGCCACCAGTTAAAAATCGTGTCAGTCTGCTCACCCGTGCAGTCTGACAAGATTCTGTATTGTTGGTAACTCAATTTTTTGTGTTTTTTGTTTCTTTTTGTTGTTGTTTTTAAAATTCCATAAATTTTGAAGAGACAACTAGAATTCCAAATATTCAAAGCAGGGTAAAACCCATAAGACAAAATCAGCAGGTCCAGGCTACGGGTTAAAGAAATAAGTTTTTTTTACAAATTGTATCAGCAAAAAATGTAACATTGTATGTAATTTTATTTTGTAATATAGTTCTGGTCATTATTATTTTATGAAAAGATGATATTTAACTACCTATGTTGTAACACATGTTTCTATTGTTTTATGTTTTGATTTGTTCCAAACATTGATTGATCCCCGTGTAAACAGATATAAGATGGGTTTTTGTTTTCTAAAACAAATAACTAGAACTATAATGATATAATTCTTATCAATAGCCATCACAGTATTTAGTAATTACAGAAGTAAAGTTAATAGCATTTGAATTTAATTTTAGCATAAAGTCTATGTCCCTTGGCCGATCATTTAACTACAATGTATATTGTAAAAATGCCCTGGGCTTTTGGTTTACTTGAATGCAAAAATACAAATAAGAAAGATCTTTTTCAGATTTAATAACAATAAAAAATGTAGACTTCCATGGCAGAGGAAAGTTTCCCTCTAGAATTGAAGTAGTGTTTAGTTTCCAAGACAACGACGTTTCCTTGCTTCTACAAAAGGATGATGTTTCAACTCAACTTCTTAGCGAGGACCTGTTTCACACCTCGAAAATCCTCCCTTCAGGGCTATTTAAGGACAAAGAAAGAGATGTGAGTAGAGATAATAAATAAGAATTTTACGTCGCATGAGTTTAGCGATGCTTTAACAACATTTCCTTCAAGATTGGAAGATTTCTTCTCAAGTTATACAAACTGTGTGGCTTTAAATGGTTAAATGTTGAATTCATCTTAAGCTTGTGCTAGGGGGCATGGACGGTAGTTTGCACTTGGCAGTATTGTCCATGAACAGGTTCAATCAAACCGAGTCTGGAACATTTTCAATTTGCCTTTTGGACTTTCTTTAAGGATTCTTGTTTTCTCTATTTTAAATACTTGCATGTTTTGTTTGGAGAGCAAGTGTGTGGTTTTTCGTAATTTGTATGAAATCAAACCTCTTTATCCAGATTTTTAATATTATATGTAGAAAGAAATGGGCCACTAACAGATAAAGCAATAAGTGTCCCTTGAGCGATCACGTTTGTATTTATTCTTAGATAAAGTAAAAGAACTAGTTACCCTGAAAATATTTTACCCATTAAGACATTGTTTTCTAGTAAATCTCGTATATTGATGAAAAACTGTCTTAAATAAAGCCAAATCAAAGAAAGACAAATCGCTTTTTGTGAATCAACAATGTAAATGAAAAACAGCCTTTTTAAAATATTAACAAAAATAAATATGTACAATGTATATATATTGTGCGTTTGTACGTTCACAAGAGCTGCACAAAGCAGTGTTGAATATTAGTTACAAATCATAATTTGTTTATTGTTTTAGTTCGCTGTGTTACTCAACACACAATTACCATATTTATTAGTTGATTTATTCATTTGAATTATTTTATTTAAACACCAGATATAGTTCTATTATCGGGAAGCTGCTCTTCATTTCATATACATTTTTTAAAGCCATTTTCATTTTATTTATTTCAGAACTTTGCAGCTTACGAATCTGGCAACTTAGACGTTCTCGTTGTCCATCGAGAGACTTCGGACTTCAGCCCAAAATTTGTAATACGTCTTCTAATTTTGATGTAGCTTTAGTTTTTTTAATGACGTTTAAGTACGAATTTCATTGTAGGCCGCCATTTTACTGGTGCTTTGATTAAAAATGTTATCTTTAAATTATGGTTTTCTTACACAATAGTTCGTCGTTTTATTTAATTGCTTATTCTTCTCGAAACTTGTTGATCACTTATCTCAAGCAGTACTTCTGTTGTAGTATGGTAGATTTACTCATAATAGTAACAGAATGGTTATACATGCTGAAGGCGGAAGTCACAAAAGTCATCGTGTAAAGCGGGAACTGAACGAAGATAAAGGTCCGTCAAGTAAAAAAGATTGTCTTTTAAAATTAAGCGATAAATTTATTACCAAACCTGTGTTCGTAGATTCCGAATGAATACCAAACTTTGATAATCAATAAGCATATTCGTAACGACTTTTTATATTTTTTCCACAAAAGTTTTAATTTTATGGCAATTCTTTAATTATCAAAAAAGTACATGTGCATTGTGTTAAAGTCTTTATCGCTTAACTATTTGTACATCATGATGCGTTATTTTCATATTCTGTAAACTGTGACCTATTGCATTTTCATATTAGTTTATAACATTTAAAATTTATCATTTAACTATCGTTAGATAAACATTATGAACCTTAATATATTTACAGAAGACAAGTACAAATATTTATTGTACACTAAGACGCGTGTGAAATAATATTTCTAATCATTATTTAAATTGATCAAAATTTCTTTAAATCAACATTTTCAAACTGGACTTTTAATCTATTTATTTTAATCTTTCAGATCACCACAGAACCGGTAGAGCTACAACAGATGATATTATAGAATTGTTCATATTTGCCGACCTGTCCGTTTATGAACAGTAAGCTGAAAGAAGAAAATAATGAATAAAAGTGTCAAGCTTTTAAATGACAGAATTTACTACAAAATTTTCAAAACTGTATTTCTATTTTATGGCCACAAGCTTTCAAAGCGTCATGCTCAATTTGCAAAAACTATTAAGTTTTACAAAAAATACTTTTTAACAAAAATGTCTATATGTATATAGTTATGTGAATTGTTCATGTAGATTAATATACAGAAAAGATCAAAATTTCTTTTCATTCATAAAAAAAGTTCATTTAGTAATTTGATGTTTAACAAGTACGTCGTTGTTTAATTAATTGTTCATTGTTTACTAGTATTTTTTCTATTTTAGTATTGCTACAGAGCTACTTCCAGGCAAAACAGAAACCGAAGTTAAAACATTTATCAAAAACTATTTAACTGCACTTGGGAAGGAGGTGAACATTTTTATACATTTAACATTGGTTTCTGCTCTATCTTGAAACTCATTTTATGCGTATTTTAAAACTTCTTTCATGTTGTTCTTAATTGCAAAAGTTTGGCTTTTTCTGTGATTATTACATGTATATAACATTATTACTGCACTTAGATTGTATTTTAATTGAATTACTTAACCGATAAGATGCTTGTGTTCGAACTTGTTACTAACAAAATACATTCTTTATACCTTTATATTGACAATAAGAACGCTAATTATTTTAAAGATATACTTTAAACATCTTTGGGTAAGATTTTTTTATTGAAGAAATTTATTGAAATTTAGACTGCACAACTGCCTCTACACTGCGGGTAAAGTTTAATTATTGTAATCACTAGCGTCATAAAGGTAATGAATATAAATAATGTTTGCAGGTTGACACAATCTACCAGTATCTTGGGAAGTACGGTGATATCGGTACCATCAGGGTATATTTCCAGCAATATCAAATTATAACGGTAAGACTGACAGCATCACTCATTTAATACTTGTTTTCAGCTATTAAACACATTTGACATTTGACTGTAAGACGAAGTTTAAATGATATGTATTTGAGTCAATTTTTGATTATTTATTTAGGTATTTTTCTTTCGGGCAAGAGGGCAAGATAATATACAAATGATGTTTGGGCTATACCATATTTAAAGATACATTACCTTCTATCATGGCAAATTGCAACAAAAATCAAAGTTTATATTAAGTGTTCATTGCAGCATATTGGAACCAAACGGCATTTTTCTCTACATTAATTAATCATCATTTCTTCATTCACAGACATAAAAGATGTTTGCTTTTCTTTCTCTAGCTCAGGCCAACAAAAATTGGTAAAAACATATTATAAAAAAGCTTCAAGCAAGTCACAGTCAAATTTTAAAAACTAATATTCGAACAAGACAAAATTTTTTCCCTAAAGGGAATCTTGTATATTTCGAGGCGTTTCATCTAACATTTTAACCCTAAAGAAACGGCAATGATTTTTTTTAAAAATCGTTTAAACTCGGCAGGGGAAGGGTAATAAAATTATTATTGGTTTTGGAGTGATATATGTGGATATATTACCTTCAAGAAATAAAATATCACCCTCGCCCTAACGGCTCGGGTGATATAAAATCTTAGCAGGTAATATATCCACATATATCACTCCAAAACCAAAATAACATATAATATAAATGTCACAATTGTCCAATGAAAAGCGACGTTACAAACGTGCTGTATTATAAAAAGCATATAGCATTTGAATGACTATGCTCTTCTGAAACAATGTAGAAGACAAGTAGTCTACAAGAACATAAATATTGGCAATATAATGCAAATGCAGCAGCTATGTATTATTTTTCTTCCGTACACCATTACTTTTTGTTTATTATAAGAATAATATCATCATACGATTCTTTTGTTTTTTCTGGTTTCCTGTCTTCCTTTGTGCTTTAATAACTTTGCTAAAATAATCAAATTACAATCGCAATTTTAATTATTACATTACAGTAGGCAAAAACGATACCTATGCACAAATGATGTGTATGTTAAATGATTCATTAATCTTTCAGGTTGGATATGGAGGGTGATTTGCAAGGTAATAAATTTAAATTCACTATTTTAAGATAAATCTAAAAAAAAATTGTTCTTCAAATAAAAGTAGTCAGTAAGTGTGATTTTCAAATTTAGTTAATATTTGTTTGTACCATCGCCATTATATAGTTGCTTAAGGTTTAAAGAATTTGAAACAGTAATTTAATGGGCAATTTTTATCTTTATATTATATATATTTACAGTAATGTCTACAGGAACAGTGTGTGGAGAAAGCTCTGCTATTGCTACTTCTATTATTCGGATCGACAGTTTTACCATCTCAATGGCTCAAGGCATAGCTTTAACGTATGGCTCTGAAATATGGGGTTCTAATGAGCCTCTTCATTGCTTTTACTATTTCGTTTAAATGTTTGGAATAAACAACGTTTTATGTGTTTTGTCTTATTTATATATGGTTTATTACGAAGTTGTTTCATTTTCTAATGCTAATACAGCATAGTATCTACTTTCTTAAATCAATAAAACTTCTTCTTAATTAAAAATGTTCTTTCTAACACAACAATGACTTAAGTAACTCTTAACCGATCAGCAATCAGTATAGCTTATGTTGTCTTCTATCATCTTTTTATCTTAAATGGTTGTAAAAAAAATACGTTTGTTAGAAAGAGAATTCATTACGCTTTAGCTATTGCTTAATTGCAGATTCAATGTCCCCCTAGATGGTGATGGTAACGTTTGTCTCAGCAGCGATCAGTATATAATGTCGGATAATTACGCTCCTGCTACATCTAATCTACATCAAGGAAATCGCTGGAAGTTTTCATCTTGTAGTGTGGATCAGTTCAAATCTGCATTGTGAGTATTGTGCATGTTTGAATTTTCAAGTTATTAGAACAGTTAAAAAACAACATTTATCTGATAGTTAAATTTCCCCGACTGAAAATGAATGTGTTTTAGTGGACTCCACTGTCGTGCTTTGACAAGACGTAAATTAAAATTACTTTTCCGAAATTTGCATTCCACGTGCTTAAGGTCTGGATCAATAACTGGTGTGCAAATTTTCAGATCATTTCTTAACCCGTTTTTCTTAGAATAGTTATTTTTGTTGTCCAAAAGAATTAAAAACGCTAATCGGACTAAGAATCGCCTAAAAGTCGATATTGAATTTAATTTAGTGTTTATTGTGATATTATGATTATTTGCAGACTTCACTTGATCAATTCAAATAATTCATATGTATAGTTGTTAGGCTTTTTGACCTCAGTGGGGCTCCTAAGTGGGGATATTTCATATCAATTCGCAGACAATATTATATCATAAACTGTTAGAATCTCTTAGACATAATCATGCCTAGGAAAAAGGTTGTTGGTTAACAGATTATTAATTTATTAATATAAAAAAGTTCTGGTGGCCTAGACCTCAGCTGTCTGCAGGTGCATGACTCGGTATTTGACTTTGATGCATACGAAGAAGCTGCATACATCAGTGAATTGCTCACCGTAGACGAACAGTGCGTGCTGCGGTACGAAGCTGGGTCTACTTTCTGTGTAAGAATAACATTAACGTAGCTTTAATTTTATATTTTATACAATGCATTGACAATATAACTGGTTTCACACTGCAACAATTAATAAGCTCTTCTAGGCTCTCGAAGGTCATTACCTAGTAATGTTATTGAACTAAAAATGTTTTACGACCTAATAATGTTTCACGTTGAGCTAATAAGGTTTTACTTTACTTTTAATTATTGAAACAAACAATGTTCTCATACGAATAAGATCGTATGAATAAAAATGAGTTTAAATAAAAGGTTATTTTAAGTCACAAATAAAAAAATCTTAAATCCCTATAAAAATGTGGAATTGATTAAAAAAGCCCCAGTTAACATTAAATTACAACCATGCATTTTCGTAAGTAAGAGATTTTCATGTAATCTTGATAAAACATTGGCGCATTTTTGTGTGTTCCTTTATTATCTTATAAATAAATTATCTTATAAATAAAAGAGCACGACATCTTTATAGTAAATACTAATACAATACGAGTATTTACATAGAAAGTATTTAGTAGAAGACGTATATCAAAAGCAAATTTTCTTAATGAGAAATTTGAAATGTTATTATGATGACAATAATTACTGTCAATACAACAGGACGATGCCCTCGGGAATACAGTAGATTGTTATAGTTCAACACAAGGTTGTACAGTTTCTGGATCATGCTCACCATTCACTGTCCCACAGCTGACACCATGTGATACAGGGGAAACTGCAGGCAACGTAAGTGTATTCTTTTTAAAAATTAGACCATCAACTATATCCCAAATACACAGCCACAATTGAACTTGGCATCATGTCAGCCCCTTAACCTATATCAGTACTGATGCGAACAAGTCTAAAGATATTGGACAAAACATACACAGGTCAAACAAGGAATAGTTGGAATTTAATGAACGCATCTCTCCACAAATACCAGCAACATAGGACTATAGGAAAGAAGCTAAATATACGTCCAAAGCGTCTGTTTTTATTTTAATATTTGATGACATTGTATTCCTAAAGCTATTTTGCACACAAGTTACTAGTTATGACCTACATCAAATAGTACATTAATTTCCAAAATATAGTCCCGTCATATCAAACAACAACAACAACAACAACAAAACTCAGTGGACTGCCTTTCACAATGACACAGTACAGTTTCTCCATAACGCAGCGTGTAACAGAATAAATAAATAAATAACCAGGAACCTATTTTCTCAGTATCTTTGCAGTTTTGGATTCTGTATTTCTATAAAGTCATCTGTAACAGAGGAATCTAATTCATCTACCAGCACCAGCTCCACAACAACGACGACACAAGCTCCACTTCCACCTGTTAGATCTACCATGATATTCTTTTCAAGCAGTTTGCGGACGACAAGTTCCACGCAATCTACGACGGTACGTTGTTTGAAAAAATTGACAAAATCGCGAACGGTCCTATTGAAAGTTTATGGGTGTGATAGTGACAAAACAGCTCTTGAAACACCTTATCTGAAATCGCCATAGTCAATTTTCAGACAGACATTTTTTTTACTTGGTGTTAGTTTAAGTTGAGACCCGTAACCAACCGGTGTATATTCGTTGGTCTCAAAGCTGTAGGTTATTTTACGTTTCCTGTAATTGACACTTTTGAAAGATAAACAGGAGGTTTACAGTAGTACTTATAAATAACGTTCTCATACTGTTCAATGGGGGAAACGTGTGTTTTATAATGTTGTAATAATTAATTAAGGCAAATTAGAAATGCTTATCACCTGATGGAAATTAATCAGAATGTAAAATAATGTGTTCTAAATGAAGCAAAATGTTTTCAAAGCGGTATTTTGACATTCATTCAAAGTACTAAATCACTATAACTATACTAATTGTCAAAAACTTAAAAGGACCAATGAGTAACATTTTCATATTTGGTCTCTCTAAAAGGTCACCAAAAGTAAATGCTTTTGAGAAATAAGGGTAATAGCATTTTTGAGGATCAATGGGCCTACGTCCCTTTGTTATCATTCGACATGCAAGAATAAATATGCTTTCTTGCACTAAATATTACTTTACTTACAGGTGTATATTGATATTTATTTCAGACAAATGCGGACGCCTTACAGACAACCACCGGAGAAATTGATTGTACTCCTGAAATAAGCTATGAGTACTATAATTTACCTGGTAGATATCAATGACTTATTATCAAGTTATCTGAGTTTATAATTCAAATATAATTGCTAGAACATGATAAATTATGTAAAGTTATGAACAAATTCTGTCAGTAAACTTGTAAAACTGCTGCTGATTACTTATGAAGTATTTATTCTACATATGAATTCCAATAATAATAAAATAATAAAAATGAAATAAAAAATGTTTAGGTTGCAGTTGCTCAGGATGTAATGTCAAAAATGAAAAGAACAATGATGATTGTTTGAAGTCTCCAGATTGCATTGGTAAAAAGGTTAGGGTGGCTACTAGGTAAGTATCACTTCATTTATTTTGAAGTACAAGCAATGTACAATACATTGTATATATAAAAACGACCCAACTCACAAATTATAATAGAATAAAACATTTGGCAATCAATTTTTGTTTGTTTGTTTTGACTGCTTATTAATACGCTGTTAGTCGTTCTTCGTCTGTAACTCCGTCTGTACGTGAACAATAACCTAAAAACTTATTGGAATAACGTTCAGTTATAATGAGCATATGGACATCTGTCAATGCTATACATTTGCAAAAACGAAAAACAACTACTTATTGCACTTGTTCATTTAAATGAATATCAAAGTATGCATACATTATTATGTTACCATAACAAGGCAAGTTTGTATGGTGGCTGATTTGGTACACTTTGCGCGTTGTGTTGTCGGTAGCGACAACACAACCTATATCGTAATCTCCTTTTCGTCTTGTCGCTACCGAAGCACGCCAAACAGCGCGTTGTTGTGCGGCGTGTTGACGCGTTGTCGCCTTGCCGAGCGACACTATGACATCGCGACAACACACCGAAAGATGAAAGTCTGACAACGCGTCGTTTGGCGCTTTGTCGTGCTGTCGCTAGCGACAACACGACGAACAAAAGCGTTTCAAATCAGCCACCATAAGTTTGAGATAGGATCATGCGTTGTGGATTACTCTGTAAGGTATATAAATATATTTTTAACGATTGCGCTGAGTCGACATGAAAATTTGTCTGTACCAAAATCGAATATTACTAGTATTTTATTTTATTTTTTATGAATTCATTATACTGTTGCTAGTCATTGTGAACATTAATTCTATTTACAAGCATTTTGCAAAGGTAAATGAGTATAGAGCGATTTTAATAAGTGCTGATTATTCTTCCATTATGTTGACAGGATTATACCAGAGAGCTGCATTTCACTGTACCAGCCAGGACCTAGGCGGGTTATATTGACTGCAAGTGAAGCCGAGAGTACGGAATTAAATGCGGAAGTGTTCAAAGGGAATAATGGGAAATGGAAAGTTGAACTTGTAAAGAATCCTTAATTGATTGTTAAAAAAATGTCTTGAAATATTTTTTAAATAAAAGTTCAAATGATGACATTTAAATAAAGTTGCTCGTGATACATTTTAACATGTTTTAAAAAAAACTTTTGTTCACCAGAGTCGACATCGGCATGTTGCTATTAAAGTTATGTCGAAATTAGGAAAAAATATATTATAAAAGACAACAATATGAACTGTATATGACATAATTAATGAAGTAGTAGTACATACAAACAAATAAATAGAAATTAACAGTAAAAAATCAACTAATATCACATTAAAAGAATACAATTATTATTAGCTAAATAAACAAAAATAAGGGATCATATTGTTCATTTTTACTGAATTTCAATACAATTTTAGTAAAGGCAAAATGTTCATATGGTTAGAACAACAAAATAACCATACTAAAGTGGTCAAAGCTAAAGATGGTTGTATTCGATAGTCATTCACAAAAACAACTTGTCCCAATATACCCGACTTCAATGAGCTTTTGGTGTGTTTTCAAAAACTTAAATGATGATTATTTCCTTTCTGAATACTAATGAACGAGTAATACATGTGACAGATTTTAGTTTTTATAGGGACATCAATGTTTTTTTTATATTATTGGGCTTGCAACATTTTTTGGAGGCATGTAGACCATTTGTTGAAGGTTTGAACTTATAACTTGTGTGCAAAATTTCGGATCATCCTGCCAGTCCGTTTTTCCATTTTTTAATTGTGCAAAATTAAAAATGAAAAGTTTTGCTTAACCGGGCTTTAATCCTGCCAAAAAAAAAACGATTTAAAAAAATCGATATTTACAAGAATTTCAAATTTTACGTTTTTAGACTTTTTGATCTCAGTGGAGCTCCTTTATCAATAAACTAGACATATGGACTTTTAAACAGAACGTGAGATACAAAGAAAAACAACTGCAGCGATGAAAGTATATAAACTGGCTTTGATTCTGCCCCTTCCGAATAAAACACAAGTTAGATACAGGGTCTCCAATGAGGTCTATAAATATCTCATTTCTTACATAGAACAGCTGAGGCACTTAAAACAGAAAGATTTGCAAAAGATAATTAACATATACATATGTTCTTTAAAATATATATTTGTCGTTTTCTACAAGCCCAATTTGATTGAAAATCATTTAAACGCTTTTCAATTTTAGCTCATATTTTCACAATTAAAATACTTATTCCTGAAAAATTGCACACAAGTTACAGGTCTAGACCTTTATTAAATGTAACATTTATGTCGAAAAATTATTATTCTGTCTCGTCATGTCAAAAATACGCTATTTGTATAATGAAATGTAAAAAGTTAATAAAACGTAAAGACATCGAGTCGGCTCGACCCAAAGGTTCAATTTTTTGAAGTTAAAAACATCCGCCATTCTACAAAAAGTTGATTCTCTATCGCAACATATTGAGAAAGTTTCTGCAAGAAAAGTACATTTAAAATTAACGAAAACAGATCGAGAAGCAAATACTCATTTTTTTTCCATCAGATGTTTTCAAAGGACATACATAATAGAATAATCGGCTGTAAATTAAAGGGGCTATCAATTTATATCCATTTAAAGATGTTGGGTGTTAGAGGACCCTTGATGATGAAGTCATGTTCAGAAGAAGAGAATAGTTGAATCGATGCCCACAGAAAAAAACATTTGTGCTGTGTTGACAACGGCGACGTAATGGTCACAACGAAATTTGTTTAGATTAACATACATGTGAGATGTTAGACTTTGAGTTTCCATAAGACATTAGAAACAGACTTGATGAAACTATGTCTGCGATTTTCACCTATTTATTTTTGTTTGATTATTTTCAGGGATTTCCTGTTTCCCGATTGTCAAACATAAGCTAGGAACCGTCTTGAACATGTCATCAACGTTGATATAAGCTGAACGACTAAATTTTTTTTTTAAAGATGCATTGTCACATTCCTCAAACTACAATTTTCATTAGTACTTATCAGCAACTTCGCTTGAGAGAAGCAATGTTATGAAAAATTCTCGCAAAACCAAACATTTTTACTGACCATTTACTTTTAATTAAAACCGGTTCTTTAACAGAAACTTTAATTAATTAAGTAACCATGGCAATCAACTAATTTACTCAGTCACTTTGTTTTGTGACATTTAGATATCTATATCTCAAACTAATCCAGAATTAGTCAATACGACCAACAAAACCTCTTTTCCTCAAAGGCACCATCTTTTTCAAAAAATAAATAAATAAATAAATAAATAAAAAAAAATAATGAAGTTAACAACACAGACCTGAAGATCTGCTGTAAAGACGCGATTTAAAGAAATGTGTTGATTGACAGTTCTGATACCAAACAATGTCTTTTAGTGATGGATAAATTATTATTAAAATTACGGCAGCTGCCAGCAATTTATTTATAAATTTGCCTACTGCAATGAACGCTCTAATTAGACACAGACACTTGGGGTTTGGAGCTCAAAACGCCTTTAAAATCCAAATAAAATGCATATTTGTCAATCCCAGCACATGTACTGATCATATATATCAAAAAAACTTAATATAAGCCGTTTTGAAAAAAATTCATATTTCAACATCTATAATAATATTATTATAGATGTTGAAATATGATTTTTTTTCAAAACGGCTTATATTAAGTTTTTTTGATATATATGATCAGTACATGTGCTGGGATTGACAAATATGCATTTTATTTGGATTTTAAAGGCGTTTTGAGCTCCAAACCCCAAGTGTCTGTGTAATTAGATACATGTTTAATTTGATTATTTATAAGGTGGGTTAGTGGAAGGGACGCGAACGGTTGAAAAAGCGATTCTATGAAATATTCTTAAACTTGACATTATTGTCCGAAGACTTTCGATAAAATTATCAATTTGAAAATGACGTATTCATTATTTTTCTTAACATTCGATTTTGGACGTAACTGATTCAGTTGATCAACCAACATTTAATAAATGAACTTTAGTAAGTACAAAGCGGTGCGAACATACACGTCTCCAGAGGATTCCTGTGACTTAACATCATAATTCGGTAATTATTTTTATGCTTTCTGATTTAAAAAATAAATGCAAATGTTTATATTCATGGTCTCATTCAAGTTTTAGGCTCAATGACGTATTCAAATTAAGATTTACAAGATTTTTTATTGTCACATGTTTACGCGATGTTTACAAAAACCTATGAAACCTCGATGAAGTGTCAGTTGTTTGTGTGAAGTGGTTCCATCTCTCTGTAAACACATCTTGATATAGTGTTTTTAATATAAGCAACACTACTTTCGTAAGTTCAGTAATTTTAAAAGTGTTATATGATGTCTTTTGTCAGCTTAAAAATTGTGAAATTTAGGAATTAACTGATTGTTTAAACAGAGTTAAAGACTCGTGTGTTATTATATAGCATTGTCTTTAGAAACCATTATTATGAAGCTGGTGATATTCTGAAAGCTCTTTGACAGAAATTATAGTACATTATAATTTAAACCCATTGGCGGCTGCACAATATGCACAGGAAAGTCGGTTCAAATTATGGTTCCTTTTAAATTTCGCAGGAGGCCAGTCTACACATCTCTTTTCATTAGAATTCCTCGGCTTTTATCATTTTGTAATTGGAAAAGTTGCGATTGGCCAGTTTCCCATAATTTTGCATTACTTCCGGCGAAAGTTTTCAAAACCATCACTATCTAGCAGGTACTCTTGTTACGGTACAAGCTCACTATTACATGTTTGTATGTCACAGGGTGAGAAAAATGTTAAGTCTAACTGGGACTTGAACCCTGGAACCATGGAATACCGTTCCGCGGCTTTACTGACTGAGATATACCGCTGCTTCTCCCCTTTATAGTGAATAGTTCTGAGCTGTGACATACTTTCCCGCTATATTGAAATTCATTCCCAAATTTCTCAGGGTTACAGAGCAATGCAAATTAAACTTTGAGCTATAGTATATAATTATGCAGTCATGGTCCCACGTTGGCCACCAAATGTGGGGTGAGAAAAAAGTGCAGTTGACCGAGACTGGAACCCGGGGTCGTCGCGTCGAAATACCGTTAAACGGTTCTACCAACTGAGCTAGCCAGCAGCTTACACATCTTCTCCTCTAGATAGTGAACAGTTCTGAACCATGGACATTTTATGCCCCCAAAGGGCGGCATATGAAAATCACACGGTCCTTCTGTCTGTTTGTCCCCACTTGATTTGTGTCCTGACTGTTACTTTGTTTTACATTGAGGGATTTTAAAATAGCTTGGCACAAATGTCTACCATATAAAGACGATGTGTCTCGTCCAAGAATTACATCCCTAGCTCAAAGGTCAAGTTCACACTAACATTTTTAAGTTTAACATGATCACAATTACAGAACTTCAATAGGTACACACATTTGTGTCCGGACTGTAACTTTGTCATGCATTGAAGGATTTTAAAATAACTAGGCATAAATGTCAACCAAGAATTACGTCCCTACCTTAAAGGTTAAGGTCACACTTACATTTTGAAGTTTCAAATTTCCACAATTTGAGTGAATGGGTACACACAATTGTGTTCGGGCTGTAACTTTGTCATGCATCAAAGGATTTTACTATAACTTGGCATAAATGTCTACCACATCAAGACAATGTGTTGCATCCAAGAATCATGTCCCTATCTCAAAGGTCAAGGTCACACTTACATTTTTAAGTTTCACATGATCACGTGAAAGTTTATAGGTACACACATATGTGTCCGGACTGTAACTTTGTCATGCATCCAAGGATTTTAGAATAACAAGGCATAAATGTCTACCACATCAAGATGATGTGTCGCTCTCAAAAACCACGTCCCTACCTCAGGGCAAGGTCACATTACCATTTTGAAGTTCACTTTACTGATTAATTAGGGTTTATAGGTAAACATATTTGTGTCCGGACGGTAACTTTGTCATGCATTGAAGGATTTTAAAATAACTAGGCACAAATTAAAATGTCTACTATATCAAGACAACATGTAACATGTAGTGTCTAAGACCCCTGTCCCTACCTTCAAGGTCAAGGTCACACTTATAGTTTGAAGGTACTCATTCTGTCTAGAAGAGTTTAAATATCAGGGCCTTTTCACTAGTTTTGGGGAAGGCGCCCTAGCCCTTTTTGTGGGGAAAAAATGCGCGGTTTTCATACTTTTGGGGAAAATATATTTTTTCCACAGGCAGTCGGTGTGTTGTTCTATAACCAGATATACTACAAATACTTATTAAAATCACACATTTGGGGGAAATATTTGCACATTTTCCTCCAAACACACTTAAGGAGCTTTCTGTCCAACATAAGTTAACAAAGTAAAAGGGATTTTTTTCCAGATCATTTTATTGCCACTTTATATTTGCCCAAAAATACCTTGACTCATATTTCCTAATTATATAAATTTACGTAGGACATGTGAGGGTTCTTGATTTGATTCAGAGGGAACATTATTATCAGTTACCACTGTATCACTATTACTGGCACTGTTGTGCTAGGCTCACTATTTTCCCAAGTGTAAAACATTTCCCCACACTTGGCCATGTTGTGCTACTCGGACATACAAACTTGCAAGGGGATACATGTACTGGATTCTCTTGCACTTACAGGAAGGTCAACAATTCGTCCAATTTTAGTAAACAATTACAAACATCACTCAATAGTATTTTCTTCTTGTTCTGTGACATTGTTTACATTTGCGACATCGTAAATTGGTCGCCGTATTGTTGTAAAAAATAACGTGTGCAATAAAAAATAAGGCAGAGGGGTTTTCCCATGTTGCTTTTAGAAAGTTGCAAACTCAGACCGAGGCTGTGAGTTAACATCAATTGTATTGAATCAAGGTATCCCTCTAGTGGGTAATTGAATAATTAGCTTTCATTGGACAAAAACAACGATCTATTTTTAAACAAGAAAGTTTGTTCACAAGTTTTTTTCTTTAATTTAACATTTCTTTGAAAGGGGAAATCTCCGCAAGAAGGGGAGTTTTAGACTGTTTTTTTGGGGAAAAAAGGTAGTAAGTCGGCTTGGGGAAGTAGCCGGATACCGGCTACAGCTAAGAAGGGTAGAAAGGCCCTGCATATACACATTCATGTCCGGACTGTAACTTTGTCATGCATGGAAGGATTTTAAAATAACTTGGCACAAATGTCTATCAAGACGATGTGTCCGTCTGTGCGTCCCCACTTACATAACAATCATGTCCAGACAAACTTTGCATTGAGGAATTTGAAATAACTTGGCACAAATTTCTATCACATGACAACGTTATGTCGCATCCAAGCACTTCATTTCACAAGAACAATATTAAGCAATTAGTTACTTTCATTCTCTTTTCCTTTCATAATACTGGCAAGCTTAAGAAATCTTAATCATGAAGAAATATGCTCGTTATCCAATTAGGGCTGGAACCCATGATCCCTCTTAACTAGGCCACCATTCATAGTTTGTTCAAAATGTTTATATTGAGGATAACATAAAAAAAGGCTTTTTATATTTGTATATCATAGCATAGTAATTGCTAGGTACAAAGTTTATGCAAGTTGAAAGTTGCTATTGGGAGTAAAATACATTTTGATTTTTAAAGTTGATTCATCGGATGATACAATGTTTGATTTTTTCCTCTGTGTTTTTATCTTTGGTTATTTTGCAGGGTTTAGATATGATTTTAAATATATAATAATCAACATTTTTATTGTTTAATGATTTGTATGATTAATGGTTCAATGTTTTAGTTGAATTTACAATGAAAACGTTATTTGTTTTTTTTTAACATTACAGGTATTTAAATATTTTTCCTAATTAAGCAACTTTACAATGCAAACATTCTGGACAAAATGGCTAGGAAAAGGCCTGGTGTGTGACTGTTACACCAGTTATTGCCTACATTCCATATGAAGGGCATTTTCCGCCCATTACCAGGGTGTACCAGGGCCAACATAATTCCTTATTCCCAATCCAAAATACCTCTTTTTTTTTAATTAAGAAAAAAATATACACTTGAATAAAACTGTGAGTCATGTACATGTATTGGGTAGTTTTTCAACTTTTTTAAATTCTTAAAATTTCCAACAATGCCAGATATTTTCCAGATTCCGCCCTCCACGTTAATCCATAGGCCTTTCCCAAAACAGCTGTAAAAGGCAAAAGCTACATATACCAAAGGGCAAAGTGGTTGTCTTTATTACAGCAAGATACAGGTTACCAAAAGACTTAAGGTGGTAAAAAACTATCGCATGTGTCAAGAAGGTGGTTAACCATTGGTATAATACAACTTTACACTACTTTCAAACTTTAAAAATATTTTAATTTACCAGATACCTATTCAAAGAAACTGAATATTTATACAGTATCTATTTCCATGTAAAGGCATTGTCATATTCATATTCATTTTACCTCACAGTGAATTAAACATGGTGTATAGTCAATAGTTGGCAGACACAGTGTAATAAATCAAAATTAAATCATGATTATGTATTGATTCTCTTCTAATAAGATTGCTTTGCCAGAATTATAATGGAATTACACCTTGGTACTTTTCTTATAGATCTGCTAGAGGCTTATTGGTGTACAACAAACATGTATATAATATATACTTACATATTTATAAAGCTGTTCTGAAACCGGTGGATTTGCAGTATCTATGCTTGCATGACTGTTCTGCTAGGGGCCGTGCTGTAATTGGTCTGGCATATCGATTTGGTGGTATATGTGTCGTAATTCTCTCATTTCTACATACATATTTGTATGTAGCTTATTCTTAGGCAGTCCGACTAATTTCAGAATTACAAAGGTTATAATAGACTTATCTATTGTGACCTGAAGTGCACCATGATGCTATAACGGTAAAAATTGGTTTGTATCATGGGATTATGTATCAGGGGATTAGATGGGAAAAACCCACATTTGCAGAGTTCCGAATAACATTTAATAACATTTATTAAGGCGTATAAATCAGTTATCTGCTGAGATAATTTTTCCATTAGTATGCATTGTATAATTACACAACTACATGTATAACAAAATTTAAGTCAAGCTAGTA